ACGGTCCCTACTCCAACGACCCCAGCAGCGACAACAGCTCGATCGAGCGCGGCGTACCCGTCCAGCCACCCCAGCAAGATTTGTCATCACAATACGCCTTTATCAATAACTTTGGCAGAGGACCTATTCTCGAGGAGTTTGGCGAGCGCCCCGGTTATTCCTCCCAGGGAGCTCCGCCTCCGCCCCAGCACAACGGCATGTATTCAAACGGCTCACCCCCGCAACCCCCGAAACACGCCATGCAGCCTGCACCAGCCCCCATCAAATTGGACAGCGGCAGCGCCCCAGCCCCCGAGCAGTCACGGCCCAAGATGCTGTCCAAGAACAGCAGCAATGCAGGCGAAAAGCGCAAGAGCTGGCTTAAGAAGCGCTTCAGCAAGGGTTAAAAAGACCGCCAGCAAACGGGCTGATTAAACCAAGCGCTTTCCGTCAAAGGATTTTGATATACCCCAGGGTTGTGGTTGCTTATAAGAGCCTTGTAGCAGAAGTGGCGTATGTGTCTATATGCCACACATACACACTCACACATAAACCAAACCCATGACGATGAATTGATGAAGTCCTTTTTTTTTGCAGGCGAAGGGGAAGAGGAAATACAGAGAGAGCTGTCTCTGCTTCAACACTGGAAAAAGAAGGGAGAGGGCCGCAGGCGGTTTTAAACTTGAGATCCGCCGGCCGCATGTCATTCCTTTTTTCTCTGTTGTGCTTTAAAGCATTCTCTTGGCGTTTTCTTCTATCTGGCATCTTTTTTTGGTTCTTTTTGGTCGAGAGAGGAATTATTCACGATGGACAAAGGGAAATTATGGGATATACCGAGGGTTTCTGTGTGTGTGTGTGTTTTTTTTCTTGTTCCTTTTCTGCCTGTGTGTGTTCTCTTGGTCACTCCCTCCTTGTTATGAAGCGTCTTTTTAACTCTTTTTTTTTCTTCTCTGTTTTTCTGCACGCATGAAATTCTGTTATTATTTTTGCTACAACTATTTTTCCCCCCCGGGGGAGGAAGGCGGGATCTTGCTACAGTATATGGGAACCTAGTTTCTAGGTTTTTTTTTAATGTGGTAATCTTAATGCTTGAGATGAAAAGTAGTAACATCCCCCATCGTTTACCTTTGCTTTTTGACCTTGATGATGTTTAGAGCTGCATTTCTTTTTTTTTCTAGATGAACTTCTACAGTGACCCAAGTATTTTTTTTTTTGGCCTTGCCAGTTTGATTGCCATGTTGAATTCTTTCTGCAAGGACGCGAAGATAACTAAACTTGGTCTTATCTCAGTTCTTCGTTTCCCCTGCGCACCTTTTCCCTTCCCCTTCTAATTCATCATATGAAAAGCAAACGATTCCAAAAAAAACTACCCATACATCTCCTTGCTCACCTCGCCCCTTGTCAAGCCCCCATAATCCTATCCTTCTTGCTCCTCGCCTTGGCCTCCTCCCGACTAGCCTGTTGCTGCTCCTGCTCTGCCTGCTGCTGCTTGGCCTCGTACAACTTGCGTTGGCGCACCGCTTCCCATTGCTCAATGTCGTTTTGCGTAAGCGTGATTGTGGTGGGGGCGCGGCGGAGCATGGTTTTTGGCAAAGTAAAAAGAAGATGAATGTGTGTATGGGATGTGATTAAGGGGTGGCGCGGCGTGAGTTTTGTTTGGTTGGAGGAGGGCGGTTAAATGGGGAGGGGGTATTGTGTGGGAGAGCCCAGAGAGATGATTTGTTGGGTGGTAAGAGGGTTGGGGGGTGGATGGCGGTGAGAGTGGCGGGTGGGAAGTTGTTGTTTACAAGTTAACGAACGAATAATTGTATGAGTGGGTAAAGATCAGACGGGCGTCTTTGTGGTGGAATGCGTAAACGCCAAGTCACATGCACCAGTGAAGCACAGAGCACGTGGTGCGGAGTGTTTAACTTGGGGCAAAGGATCCCTGCTTCTGCCAAGACTTCGCGATCCGAAAGTTTGGAGGTTGAGCGTGCAATCGCACAATCGATTGCTATCCATTCCGGCATGGCTCAACGACAAATGTACGCTTCAATGGGTGCGCTGCGGCGCTCATTGGGAGCAGATGTAGCCTCGGTACAGGCTTGCTCATCGAGAGCATTGCACAGCTCGGCGAGGAGGCTGGAAGAGCAACCCAGCGATGCGTCGCCCGCCCAGCGTACGTCTTCAGTCCTTTCAATTGTACGCCCCAGAACTGCTGTATTGACACAAATGCAGCGCCAAACTCGCGCAAAGTACGCTCAGCCACTGCTCTCAAGCAGATTGCCTCGCTGCAATACCGCCGCCAGCCCGGCGCACTCGCAAGAGGTTCCTTCCCCAGCGGCCAAATGCTACGACGAACCCCCCGCTCGCCCACTCCTCAAGCCAACGAATACGGCTTCATCCCCGAAGATGGTGCTCCATCCAATACCCAGCAAGACGCCAGCCCCCGCACCGCACGCAACACAGCAGGCCCAAGGGCAATCCGCGGCTCGGCCCCTCCACCAGGCCAAATGGTCCGCGCCCCCTCCACACTGCGTATGAGCCGTTCAGCACCGGGAGCCGCCACTCGCGGTCCCAACCTGCGCGGTCGCGACGCCCGCAGACCAGCCGCCGGCGGAAAACGCAGCACAGCGGGGAACAACCGCGGCGAAGCGGGGCCCAAGCGTCGAGAAAAGACATCTGGAGGCGACGAGACCATGAGCACAAGGCTCGCGGATGTAGAGCTCGGTGATACCATTTCAGATGCTATGACGCAGCAGTTGCTCCGTTTGCAACGTAAAGAGTGGGATCGTGTTCCGTACGAGCCCAAGTATGCTAAAGGAAGCTTTGCCGCGAATGAATTGATACATGCGGGGCGAGAGTTGTTCAAGGGTGAGAGTCCGCCGGTTAAGATTTGGGGGCCGCTCGAGAAGCGGATTGGCGTTGTTGGCATGTTTGGCGCTGAGGCGCATTTGAAAGTCCGGCGGGTGCTGGATGGAGATGCTGAGCCGTTTGGACAGGAAGTGATTGAGGAGGCTGAGCCGGTGGAGGTCAAGGGCGTGGAAAAGAAGGAGAAGGCTGTTGTACAATAGAAGAAGAGGGGGCATGTGGATGATACTTGTATGATCTAGAGCAATTAAAGGATATGGACGGGGCATGAGACGGTCATTCATGTCTATGTCATGGATTTATACGTAGTATAGTCTATGGCTGTACTGCGAATCATCTTCCTACTCTGCCTGTTCAAACAGGAAACTGATCTCAACCCAGCCTATTTCGATGCCCAGACAACCTTGTACTTGAACTGCGTCGGGAAACTCTTGTCCGTAATAAGCAACTCCTCGCCCTCCTCGACCAAGTCAACCATCTTCTTCTCCAAGTTTGGTCGCGTCTGCTCCTCCAGGCCTGCAAGCTGCATGTAGAGCGACTTTTCACCTGTGCGAATCGAGGGTTTCTTGAGTTGCCTATGTTGTTCGTTAATAGGAAATTGGTATATAGCCAAGGCAAAAGGGTTACGTACGCTTCTGGACGTTCCGCCAACCCGTCAATGAACTCTTGCAGCGTGATACCGGGAAGAATCTGGAGGGGTCGCGCGATGTTCCCGGCGCCGCACACAGGACAATCATCCTTCTTCTGATGCTCAAACGTATACGTGTATACAGAGTCATCTCCAGTGTACATCATGTAGTTGTCCATGCCGGGGTAGCCCAGGAAAGGGTTGCTGTTGGTTGCGACCTTGAACGCCTCATTACAGCAGCTGGCTGCTACGATAGCGTTCGTACTGGCAATTGCTGGGATAATGTTCTTGACGACTCCTTGGGTCATGCTGTAGGTTACTCCGTCAATGTTGAATTCCTTGGCGCGGGCAGTGGCTTTGTTGAAGAGCCAGGTGATGTGTTCTGGGTCATCGGTATCGAGGGTAATGTCTTTGCGTTCCTCCTCCCACGCGATGATGTGCGCCCATTCGATGCAGTGTTGCGGCTGCCGGGGAATAGTGGCGAGTGTACAGAGCGGTACTGCAGCGCGGGGCGCGTGCATGTCTAATTGGCATTCAATGCACGAGGTCATGGTGGGGAAAATGACACGTGCTTGTCCTTTGAATCCCTCTGTGCCGCCATCGATCAAGGGCTTCATTGAATCTGGGTCGTTTTCGTCTACCATACCCACCAGTGTGGCGTTGATCCAGCGTCTTGCTTCTATGGAATCTAGGCCGCAAACAATGAGGCCAAATTGCATGTAGTACGCTTCGTCCTTGTCCTGGATCTTGCCGCAGTACGGAGTGATTTTGACGCCCTTGACGCGCTTTTCTACGAATGAAGCGGCGGTTTCTGCCTTGTACTTTCCTACGTCTGAAGCCCGGAAGAGGAATTGCCGATTCAGGTTGCTGACGTCAATTGTGTCCATGTCGATTACGTGGATGTCCTTGAAGCCTGAGAGGGCAAGGTTTTTGAGAATTTCACACCCTAGACCACCAGCTCCGCTGCATCTTGTCAGGAAACATGCTGGATAAAAGGGGCGGTCTCCATATGGCTTGATGATAGACTCACATGACTCTGCATCGGATTAGCTGGCATTTCGTGTAGTTACAAACACAACATGCTTACAGAACTTTGAGATTACTCAGATACTCAATGACTTGTTCACCGGCCATGAAGCTATCCTCATCTGTAAAAGGCCCCTTGCGAGTCAAGAACCTATCGAGGTACTTCCTATCGCGTGAGATCAGCGCTGAGCTAGGGTGTCTTCGGCTTTCTGTAGCTTACCATCGGGCCCGTGGATTGGCTGTTGATGCAGCCCCCATATCGTTGACATTAACAGCCATATTCGGTAAATGTGTAGAAGGTTGATATGGGATCAGTCCAGCAGAGCAAACAGTAGTCATAGGCATCAGAGTGTAGACGGTCCGCCAAGACACTAGCATGCGGGTCTGCGCATAAGAAGGAATCGCCGATTGGGCACAGTACACTACGCATCTCCCGCTACGCAACATTGCAGTAGGTTGGTAAAGTCACCGTTCTTGACGCCTTCATTCGCCTTTTTCCTTGGATGAATCGGATACCATGGCCGATTTCTTAACGGCGGTTTCTACCAGCAAAGTCAACCGTAGCGAGCCTCTCATTCAAGAGGTTAGGAGCCTAGATGCACAAGAAGATGCAGTAGCCATTGACTCTGCAGAATCAGCACTGAAAGCGTTAAAAAACCAGCCCAGTCGGACGACTGTAAACAGTGTTCTCGATTACCTCACTGTAGAGGGGTTTAGCCTCTTACTTCCGGACCCGCTCAATGCAAGCATCGCTCATCAACTTGTGAACGAAACCATTCCCAACTACTGGGGATCAATCAAAGACAAAAAAGAAGCAAAGAAGATTGGAAAAATCCTTCGGAATCCAACGAGTCTGGGACATATTATTACAAGACTTCGGTCACTTATCGTGGATAGTCGTCAGAAGAAGAAACTCGGAGAAGAGCGGAATACAGCTGAACACATCTCGGATGCGCTAGATGTTTTAGATCTGACACTACGCGGTAATGAGACTTCATTCCTAATATTGCAAGATACTTTTTTGTTCGGCAAGAACGTCATACAGAAGAAGCTTATATGGAAGGAGTATCTTGCCCAAGTAGCATCGGGACGTCTACTGTCGATTGCAGCAGAGGCTGAGGATGTTTTGAAGAAAAACAACGACATATCGAGAGTCTCCAGCTGGCTTGCAGAAGGCAAGGAGTATGCAGAATGGCTAGGTCGGAACACGGCTATTTTGCTGCAACGCGGGTCCGAAAGCGATGACCATCTCACTGCTACTGCAGAACTCTGCTCAAAGGCCCTGGGGTTGGGCTATACAGGTAGGCTAGTTTATCTGATTATTGAATGGTGCTGACGAGTCAGATCAAATCGTGAGCTCTCTACTTCTGACGATAATTAACGATGATAGCGTTGAGCACCTCGTGCGTTTGTTGTCCCACATGAAGACATTTGAGCAGCGAAAGTACATGAATGCAATCATCACGTTTGTGGCCAAGCAATATCTCTCAAACGAAGTTGTCAGTAAAGACTCGCCGGTTGCATCATCTCCTGTCATAGGTGCTGCTGCTGGTTTGTTTCATGACCTAATCCAAGATAACGATGTCCTCAAAGAACATCTCATCTCAACACTTACAAAATCAACGATACCCGTACTAGATGATTCGCTATCAGCCAGGCGAAGTGTCGTAGCTGCTTTGGCGAAAGATCATGGTAAGCAATGCCAGTATTCACGTATGTGAACAGTACTGACATCCATAGACAAGTTGCATACCCTTTTGGAAAACCTCATCAAACTCTTTGGAGATTTAGTCTATATCAGACACACACCAGTATTGCAACAAGAAGGCATGTAGCGATTTGTTTCTACGAAATTACTTCTAACGAAATGCAGCTCTTGCTCAGACGTTGGCACTTTGTAGTGGCTATGTCAAACGTTCAGAGCCTATGTTTCTCAATATGATGGCAAAATCATCACATCATGTCAACGGAATGTCGAACCGAATCGGCGCTGCCTCTGCGCGAGCCCGTTTTTTAGGGATCTCTGTTGGTATTGCCATCTCCAAGATGGTAGATAAACCGGAGTTGCAACTGAAGATTGAGCTGGAGGGCGCTGAAGCTGAAGAAGCAAGCTGGTACGAGCGGCTCACCAACATTGACGACAAAGTTGGGAAGGCTGCAGATCTCAAGACCCAGCAGAGCAGCACAGCCTCAGTGAAGAAGACGCAGCCGAAACCGAAATCACTTCCCAAGACCTCAAAATCTCCAGTGATAACCGAAATACAGGGACCACGAGTCATCGAAGTCGTGTCTGATTCAGAAGACGAGGATGCAGATCTGATGATGTATGATAAACCAGATTCTGACCCGGAGGACGACACAGATGACCCGACAGCCATCAACCGCAATAAACCCACAGCGCCCGTCTACATCCGGGATCTCATCGCCGGCCTTCGCGACCAAGAAAACTATGACCGACACGAGCTTGCTTTAGCCACAGCTGCATCTCTGATTCGCCGCAAAGCAAACTTTGGAACAGAAGTGACTGATCACCTTGAGGAACTTGCGACAATACTTGCAAGTCTGCAAGACAACTCGGAGCTAGAGGAGTTTGCGCAACAAAGACAGCAAGCTTTGATTGCTGTGCTGCTTGCAAAACCGGCGCAGATGGCGCAGTGGTTTGCACGGTCTTTCTTCTCTGGCGACTACAGTCTGCAACAACGCATAGCTATGCTCACGACCCTCGGTATTGGAGCGCGCGAACTGGCAGGAATGAAAGATACTTCAACCGATGACATGATACCCGCAAAACCAGACTTTCCTAGCAAGCAGCTTCCTCCACATCTCCACAGTATCTACTCAGAAGATAAAAATAGGCCATCGGTGGCGAAGATATCAAGTCACATGGCACGTGAAATGCTCTCCCCAATTGCATCACAAGCAGCCGACCAACTCAGTGGGCCCAATATTCTCAAAGTGCGAACCTTTTCTTCACGCATGGAAGTAGAAAAGAAGCGACATAAGCCAATTCCGAATGCCCTCGCCCAAATTGTAGCGGATAATTTCTTCTTTCCTCTCACTGGACGCTGGTGGCTCCAGGTTCGCGCTAGCAACGACTCCATCTACACTTCCACCCACCTTTTACCACCATTCCTACAAACGCTTTCTATACTTCTCAATGCATCGGGTCCAAATACCCTTGCACTGCCCCAGATGACACGTGAGTACTGGGATCTCTTGCTCTCGGTGCGTGGTTTGGCCAGTAAGGATAAGAACATACTCAATGCCGTTTTGTTCGGTTTCCTGATGTTGTTGGAAACAAACGAGAATAAGGAGAGACTTGCTACTGATCAAGGAAAAGAGCTCATGGAGACGCAGGCTTGGGTCAAGATGGTTTTTGACGGCCTGGGCGCTGGGAGTGAGGAGGATGAGAAGGTGAGAGTACTTGCAGCGGGCGTGGTAGTCAGGTGTCAAGAGGTAGTTGAGAAGTATCAGAGAAGGATGGCGGGTGTTTTGATGGACTACTAGGCATGTTCTATTCCATTGGTTTGGAGGTGGTGGTAAGAATGGAGCCGCGCGGCTCGTCAAACTCAGGACTTTAAGCGCCGTGATACTCAGGGTATGCGGCGCTCGAGTTCGCCGGTCCTATCACATAAGATCTTGTGGAGGATACCACAATGCAATAATTAACAGAGGGATATATGATCACTTGCCATTCATCCCACCATTAAGTTGCGATCGGATCAATACACTGAAATATGCTTTGTGAAGTATGCACTGGGGTAATTAGCCAGCACAAAGGAGCAACCAAGATCACCACCTTCGAATATGTATTCAGTCATCATAGGTCTACAAAGACACTTCAAAAATCATGGGACATGCATTGTTTGATATGTACCAAACTGGCCAAGACACTGAGTCTGGATACAGATTTCTCCCAAGATCCGCCTTTATACATCCGAGCAATACTGAATCCGGAAAGAGTCTACAGTAAGAAGACCGGAAAAAGAGCTTTCAGGCTAGATTTTCAGCTCGGAACAAATCACGAATGTAATTTTCTCTTAGCAGAAACAGGTAAACAAACATTTGGAAACACACACACCATTTTCTGACACTGATAGATCACAAAGACCACGCTAACACCCGTAGTCAAAGTCTAAGTGATGTCACGAAAGCAGCGCAGAATTGGATTGAGAGTTGTAAATGCGCAAGTTTCTGGGAAGAGCCTGGCACAAAATGGTACCCTCGCCGTCTGCTGGATTTGCAGGAGTTGCGCACCAGTCCTGATCCACACCAGACAAAAGTACGCCTGGTTGAGTCCAGGGACTGTATTCTGGAGCAAGAGATATGCATTGTATCTGATTGTCCTCCAGCTAAGCATCAGAACAATCGTTATGTCACACTGAGCCATTGCTGGGGCAACCCGAAACTTGGTTCACCACCACCGCTAAGCATGACTTTTGAAAATGAAGAGCGCTTCAAAACTGAGGGTATTGTCGTGAACGACCTACCCAAGACATTCCAAGACGCTGTCGTGTTCGCCGCGGGATTGGAAAAGGTCGGCTTCATATGGATCGACTCGCTTTGTATCCGACAACCTATCAAAGGCGATGGTGAAAATGAGGAAGAGCAGTTACAAGACTGGTTTGAACAGAGTCGTCATATGGGGAGTGTGTACCAAAGGGCTTTTCTGAACATCTCTGCAACTGCTGCGTGTGACACGCAAGGAGGCTTGTTTTTCGATCGCCGCCCAGAACTTCTCCGGGAAAACAAAATTGACGTGTATTATCCGGTAGACTCTCATTCTGCACTGGAAAACGGTGTCAATAGAACAGACGCCTACACGAAATGCTTGTTGATCGATACATCAGCTTGGGACGACCTCGTCGAGAATGCTCCAGTCAATCAACGAGCTTGGGTCTTCCAGGAGCGATTGTTGGCACCACGTGTACTCCACTTTGGATACAACCAGCTCGCCTGGGAATGTCACGAGTTCAACAGCACTGAAAGTTACTCCTCCAGTGAGTTAGCGGTCAATCCATCTGGTATCGACGGTTTTGCCGACAGAAGCCATCTGAAGCATCTCACAGTCTCTGCGGGGCGCTCATTGCGTGAAGCCAGACTAGGCAGCTTTCCAGATCCCGACCAGCATATCAAAGACGTATACATCTACGAACTGTGGAAGAAAATAGTGGAAAGCTATTCCCGAACACAACTTACGAAGCACAATGACAAGCTCACTGCACTGGGCGGCATAGCAAAACTTTTTCAAGACAAGCTATTCAGCCCAGACTACAACCAGACATATGTCGCCGGACTATGGAGTCACCACATCGAATGCCAGCTGCTATGGACTGTAAAAGTAGTCTATCGCGGCAACAACACATATGATAACCCAGGGCGACGTCACCCGGAAAGTGGACCCTCATGGTCTTGGGCCTCCATCACCACTCCACACGGAATAACCTACAACGGCACCACAGACTACGCCTCACTACAAGACAAATGCATCAAATCCCTCTTCTTCAAGGTCATATCCTACACCCTCTCACTCGCCGACCCAAACAACCCCTTTGGCATGCTAAAATCCGCCCACATACTCCTTGCTCCCGACTACCTCCACGCCATCAATCTCATACAGCATCCCGCCGGCCACGTCGTACCCTACACCTGGCACCTAAAATCTGATTCAGCATCTAAACACCCGAACGAGTTCGTCAACATCCATCTCGACGCCCCAACTTCCGACACCGACATCTTTGGTCCTGACGCCCAGTTGTATTGCATGCCAGCTGCGTATGGCAATCGTACAGAGTCAAAGGAAGTTCGGGCTTTGTACTGCTTGATGCTCAAGCATGAAGGTAGTGTTTTTCTTGAGTCGAGTGAGTTGGGGAAGGGAAAAGTGCAGTATAGGGCCTTTCGCCGTGTGGGTGTTGCGAAAGTAGGGTGGATGTACAGGAGAGAGCCAGCGATATTGAGGGAGGGGGAAACGCGCGAAGTTATCTGTATGTGCTGAGGAGACACTATGGTCTATTGTATAGACAGGTCAATTTCGCTTTCTACTCTAGAAAAAAAATTATTACGAAATGATATCTATATTTGATTTCGAGATTCCCATTCGCTATCTGCTGCCATGCTGGCGGCCCGTTTACCCCACTTCATCCTGGTACTGTATCACAACCATGTGATTATTTGTTAGCATTTGATGTTACCAGCCCTCGAATTATGTGATTTCTTCAATTCTTGTTTTCATAACCGGATCATAATGATACAAGCTCAACTTTTGTTCAACGATTACCTAATACCGGGCGCTTGGTCTAGGGGTATGATTTTCGCTTCGCATCTTCCGTGCGTACTTGTGAAAGGTCGTGGGTTCAATTCCCACAGCGTCCACATTGAGTTCTTTTTGCTTTTTTGATATTCCAACCGTTACGCTCATGCTAAGCACTTTGTCTGTGAAACTTTTTTTTGCCATCGTTTGTGGTCAGGTACGTATTTGTAAACAAGTTGCTCACATAATCGAGATTATACAAGTTCCATACATCGAAAAGTGTATGGGTACAAGTAATACATATGATAGTAATTCTGCTTAAATCCCCACCCACTTCCCTTCACAAGCCTTCTTCCTTTTCTCGGGAAAGCGTAACTAGGCATACGCCTCCTTCCCCAACTAACCACCCTTTACAACCATCGATGTACTTGATGTGAAACGACCATCTCGACTTGTCATGGCATTCGGCATGTCTTCCATGCTTCTGACACGAGCAATCGAAGCAACTGTCGATAATGCCCCAGTTATTCGTCGACGGGCACCTTGCATCGGAACTGGTACCGGTGTAGAAGTCGGAGTGGTCGATCATGCACGCGGCTTGTGTTGCGACTTCATCGTATGCATTGTTGTTTCCGGTATCGATGCATCGGCATCAGGAGAAGGGTGTTGCGGCGAGGATCTGGGGAGGAGGGAGATGAGGAAAGTGGTGGTGAGGGAGGTAGGGGTGTGCATAGTTTGCTTTAGTTGTAGGGATATGGATTAGATTTCTTTTTGCTGATGGAGTGTTGTCTCTCTCTCTCTCTCTCTCTCTCTCTCTCTCTCTCTCTGTGTGTGTGTGTGTGTGTGCGTGTGGCCTTTTTACTTGAGAGAATTTTTGTGGTGGCGGTGTTGCAGGAGAAAGTAGGTAGGGTATTTGAGAAGTGGGGATCTGCAAAAGGTGGATAGATGGAGAGTTATTGTGGATGGAGCAAGCGGCTCTCTATGTAGACCTGGCGAAAGGTTCAAGTACTAATATTGAAGGTAACAGAATAAGGCAAGGTAGTGGACTCGAGCTGCTTCTTTTGTTTGGTAACTTTCGGCAATGTCATTCTGTAAGCTTATAACATGTCAGTTCTCACCGTGTTTTCGTTATCCATCCAGCCCTTCATAGTGGTAAGCAGCTATCTTGACTCTTGCTCTAGGTTTAGGGTAAGGTAAGCACAAGTATTGCGCGTCCGCAACAGTAGAAGAACAAGAAAAGGAATAGGGAGTGCGATCAAGATGAGCGCAGTGGATTGGAGAATGTTTGGAGCAGATCACGAAAAGGATACGTTGCTGCTATTCTTGCAGAAGAAAGAAAAAGTATTTACAAAGAAAATATCATCAGGGTATACACATGTACTCCATAACCCCAGTCATAAACCAAAAGTCAACAACCAGCGTTGACCTTTTTCCCCTAATCACATCTTCCACAGCCAATTCTAGTGTTTTCCTTAAAGATGCACCGCTCTAGAACTTTGCATGGTGCCTTGTAATTCTCTGTCTGTGCTCCCTGAGGAACCTGGCCATGCGCGCGTTTCGTGCAGCAGGAGGAGCAGGGGCGGGGACAGGCGTTTCAGTGGGACTAGCTGTTACGGTAGCGTACACGGTTTCATAGACGGTGTAAACGGCTTGAACGGTGTCTGTGACGACAGGAACGACTGGGGCAGCTACGGGCGCAATGGCGGGACTAGTTGGGGCTGGTGCAGGTACTGGCGCTTCAGGAGCGGCCGCAGGACCTGAGGATTGAGGGATGCCCTGTGTGGGGCTGGGGACAGTGGCGGCATCACTGGAGTTTTGAGTGGGAGTACCAGTGTTTTGAGGAGGTGAGACGGCAGGTGCCGATGTTGGCACAGTGTCGTTGTCGTTGGAACCACCGGCACCTACAGGCCATTGGAAACCAGGCATGCCACCTGCGCCCGTCGGTGCTGGGCTTCGAGTTGGCGCTGCAATCTGGGTTGGCGGCGCAACAGGCTTTACGCCGTCTGCGATTTCGGAAGCGGTAGGGCTCTCGACTGGAGGGCTTAGAGTATCGGGAACGCTGGGGGCGCTGGGAGCTCCATAGGCGGGAGGAGTTACGATTGGGGCAGAGGCTGGGGCAGAGGCTGGGGCAGAGACAGTCTCGCTGGTAGGAATGGGCAAAGCAACACTGGATACAGACGGCTTGATAGCCGAAGTCGGTATAACAGGAGAGCCAGTTGGCACAGCAAGTGCAGAAGACACGGCAACTGTCTCGGTTGGGACAGGCTCTGGTACGTAAGCAGCACTGCTCTGCTGAGGCGCTGATGAAGGCACTGGAGCAGGAGCCTCGCCGTTGTCTTGGTAGACCTTCAAGGCATTGATCGTCCAGTATGCTTCTGCAAAGGCCTCTGGGTTGTTCTGTACCCACTCCTCGCATGTAGCAGCCTTCTTTGAGCACGAACTGGCTCCCCAGACACTGCTGCTGCCAGCCCATACACCACAGAAGGTGGTGTCGAAGACAATCTGTTGCTGTTTGAATGTGTTCTCAATATCACAACCACCTTCAAACTTGGCGGATGGCTTTCCCCATCCACTGGGGTCAGGGTTGTCACCAAGAACATCCTCCGGAACAGAGCCGCGAGGGAAGAAGAAGACACTAATGGCATCAGAAGTCCATTGAGTTGCGTAGACTCCTCCACCATTCGCATTCAAGCCTGCACCGTAACTCTTGGTTGATTGGTCTGCGATGGAGCATCCTGCGTTGTCCATTTGGCCTTTTGCTTTGACGTAGCAGTTCTTAGTGGTTACATTGCCGGCAAACTGAGTGGTGTCGGAACCAATTGTGCAGCCAGGACCTGTGTGGAGGGTCATGGAGTTGCTCATTTGGTCGTTGACGCCTTCAATGATGTCAATCTCGCCGTTGTTGGGCCAATTGGGTCCGGTTGTCCAGAATCTGTCAAGATTGAGCATTCGGTCATGGAAGGAATGGTATTTGGGTATACTCACGCTGGCCATGTGCCGCAACCGAAGGGCATGTGAGCGACATCAATGACAATCAAGCCACTGTCGTACTTCTTCTTGCTCTCTATGCGAATACTAGGCCTTCCCTCTGGACACTCGTTCTCGTGGTCCACGCCCCATGATGCTCCAGTAGTGACAGACGCGTTGATGAGATTGGTTTGCCTTGCCGTGTCCTCATCAACATACTTGACGAAGCCCTCTGTTGGGTCAGGTTGAGTGAAGAAATCAAACGATCCATAAAAGTCGGTCATGTAGTCATCCTCAAGAACATAGCCAGCTATGCTCAATTGGAAAAAGGCGGCAGCCGAAGTGAGTGTGGAGAAACGCATCGTCAAGATGGCAAGAGAAAATGAATCAAGTAAAGAATGACTGCGTACTAGACGCGCGAAGGGAAACAGACGCAAGAAGTGAATGCACGGGAGTACGGGACGGCAGCCAGGTGGTCGGAGAGATGCGACCTGCCTACCTATATACGGGGGCCAAATGCCGATACCCTAACCACAAAAGCCGGGCATTTGGCCATAAGCAGCCTCGCGGACAGGCTCAATGGGCCCGGGGGAGCGTACATCTCCCGTTAGGCCATATGAGCTTGGTTTCAACGGTGGGAGATTTGCAGGTGGATCGAGCATGTCCCCCGGGTTAGGCACAGTAAGGGGAGCTGCAGGAACCAGTCAGGTGCGCGGGGTGGAGGGCTGGTAGCGCTGGGGCAGGCTGGTCGGATGTTTAACCAAACGTGCGCTGTTTCATGCGAAATGGACGGATAGGCTGCTGGCAAGCGAGTGGTGGCGCTTGAAACAGGTGGATGCAGTACCCCCTGCGGACAGAGAGCATTGTTATCGATTGCCTGAGGCATCTCCGAAGTTGGCTGGCCATGATTCGCTGGTGCTGGCCTGAAACGCGGAGTGAATGAATATAGAATACACAAGAGGAGCCGCGAGCCAGTCGCGGGCGCTCGCGCTAGCGCTTTCAAAGCGAGCAAACATGTTCCGCCGCCCCTGAAACCAATCATCTCACCACCAAGGGCTACGTACGCAGCCGACGTGTACGCTAAGTAGTCGGCTATCATGCAGTTTTGCTTCTTTCTGTAATTCGCCCTCGAGGCGGGGTATGTCGGTGTAATTAACTTTTGTTTCTATTTCTAGCATGACTCGTCCTCCATCGACATCACACGTCTACTCCAGCGATTCGACAACAATGGCAGAGGCACCTCCACCTCCGTTGCAAATGCCAGCGCATCCAATCTTGCCCTTCTTCTGCCTTAGCACACCAAGCAGTGTGGTTGTGATCCTGGCACCTGAAGCACCCAGCGCGTGGCCGATCGCAACGGCACCACCATGTAGGTTGACCTTGTCCTCCTGAATACCAAGTATCTTCATGTTGGCGAGAGCAACAACGCTGAAGGCCTCGTTGATCTCGAAAGCATCAACGGCAGACAGCTCCACGCCGGCGTGCTTCAGCGCCTTTGGCATAGCGAGAGCGGGGGCCGTCGTGAACTTGGAGGGGTTCTGCTCAGCATCACCCCAGCCGAGGATCTTAGCAATGGGCTTGAGGCCGTGCTTCTTGACAGCCGCCTCGGAAGCAAGCACAAGGGCCGCGGCACCGTCAGAGAGTGGTGAGGCGTTGGCAGCAGTGACTGTGCCGTCCTTGGGCTTGAACACTGGCCTCAGTGTGCGCGTCTTGGATTCGTTGAACTAGACAAGGTGAGCAAGTGGTGTTTTATCGATTATTAAACACCATACGAGTGCTATGACTACTTACGTTCTTGGGCTCGTCATCGGCATCGACAACGACCGGGGGCTTGCCACGTCCCTGGGCGACCTCAACTGGAGCAATCTCCTCTTTGAAATAGCCGGCCTCTTGGGCGGCAATGGCCTTTTGGTATGAACGGATGCAGTATGCGTCCTGGTCCTCACGAGTAAAGCCATGGTCGCTGGCACACTCCTCTCCTTGAAGTCCCATGTGCTCCTTCTTGTAGGCGTCCGTCAGACCGTCCTTGATAAGACCGTCGATCAGTGACTGGTCTCCGAACTTAGCGCCGTTGCGCATGTTGGGGAGGTAGTGGGGTGTGTTGGACATGCTCTCGGCTCCGGCAGCAACGACGATTTCGGCAGTGCCAGTCATAATGGTCTGAGCACCAACAATGATGGCCTTGATGGACGAGGCGCACACCTTGTTGACGGTGGTAGCGATGGTCGACTCGGGGAGGCCAGCACCAATGGCACACTGGCGGGCGGGATTCTGGCCGAGGCTGGGAGCCACAAGTCAGCAACCCATCTGGTGGAGAATACATCAATTGGGTTTCTAGCATGCTTACTTTGCGGAGAGGACATTGCCAACAAAGACTTCCTCAACGTCGGTGGGCTTGATGCCGGCACGTTCAACGGCAGCTGTGCGGAAATGTCAGACTGAACACTGAGATGTCTAAACATGGAGAACATACACTTGATGGCGTGAGAGCCAAGCTGGACGGCACTCAGGCTTGAGAGAGAGCTGTTCTTTGTGTGAGCTGGCTACAGCCCCTCCTTTGCACATGGTAGCACAACATACCCCAAGAACATGCCCGTGGGCGTGCGGGCAGCCGAGACAATGTAGACTGGAGGGAGAGACGACATTTTGGGGTATCTTGCAGAAACTGGAAAGTAGAGAGAAAGATGGACGATGGCTGAAAGAGGATCAGACGACCGGACTGCCTCTGTACTTACTTATATATCCGATAGCAAAGTTGAACCTTTTCCAGATTAGTTTCTTGCGACAGCGGCGAGGCGACCAGGGCAACCTGCTTGTGCTCGGGCAGTTTTGGTCCCTGCAGCGCGCTTTCTCCCCTATTGGCCGCCGCCCTCACCGCCTACGCTAACCTGCCATACGCGGAAGTTACCTTTTCGCGACATTCCCGACTTTTGCGATAGCTTCGACCTGCTCGACGCGCACCATCCCCGCAGCCACCATGGACGACCTTTACGACGAGTTTGGAAACTTCATTGGCGAGGCTGAGTCTGACGAAGATGTCCAGAGCGTCGGCGATGCAGCCGATGCCTATGTCGTCGACGATGAAGACGAGACAGAGCCTAATAACCAGCAGTTGATGGAGGTCGACGATGGGCCCTCCAACGCCGTTGTCCTGCACGAGGATAAGCAGTACTACCCTTCCGCCTCGGACGTATACGGCCCCGATGTCGAGGTGCTGGTGCAAGAGGAAGACACGCAGTCGCTGGCCCAGCCCATTGTCGCGCCAGTCGTGCAGAAGAAGTTCTCGATTGAAGAGGCCGACTTGCCACCAGTCTACCATTCCAGAGAGCTACTGACTGATCTGATGAATTTTCCAGATCAGATTCGGAACATTGCCATTGCCGGACACCTGCACCACGGAAAGACTGCGTTTATGGACATGCTGGTCATGGAAACACACGACATCCAGGACCGCCTCGATTACAAGAGGGGAAAGAAGCGAGAGGAACAGCTGCGCTACACTGACGTACACGTGCTTGAACGCGAGCGTGGCCTCTCAATCAAGGCGGCGCCAATGAGCCTGGTGCTCCAGAACACAAAGTCAAAGTCGCACCTTTTCAACATACTTGACACACCCGGTCACGTAAACTTCGCCGACGAAGTCGCCGCCTCATTGCGCCTGGTTGATGGAGTGGTGTTGGTGGTGGACGTTGTTGAGGGTGTGCAGGTCAACACGGAGCAGGTCATCAAACATGCGGTCCTCGAGGACTTGCCTCTGACACTGGTGGTCAACAAGATGGATCGCCTGATTCTGGAGCTGAAGCTGCCGCCGAGTGACGCATACTTCAAGATCAAGCACGTAATCGAGGAGGTCAACACTGTCATTGAGAACACCATCCCTGGTCGTGGTGAGAGCAGGCGTGTAAGCCCTGAAAAAGGCAACGTCGCTTTCGCCTGCTCCAGCATGAGATGGTGCTTCACCATTCAGTCATTTGCCAAGATGTACTCCGATTTCTATCCCGGCCCTTCGAAGCTTCCAGGATTTGGCGTTCCCATGAAGGGATTGGACATTGACAAGTTTGCCATGCGACTTTGGGGCGATATTTTCTACAATCCAGGAAGCCGCAAGTTCAGTCGCAAGCGGCAAGAGGAGGGATCGCAACGGTCTTTTGTCCACTGGATCCTAGAGCCAGTCTACAAGATCTACTCGCATACGCTCAGTCAAAGTCCGGATGACCTCAAGGAAACACTAGAAACTCTTGGCATACGGCTCAAGCCATCCGAATACAAAGCGGACGCAAAGGAGCTAATGCGACTCGTATGCCAGCAGTACTTTGGTCCGTCCCTGGGTTTTGTAGACATGATCACGCAGCACGTTCCATCACCAGAGGAAGGTGCGCAACGACTTCTGCAAAAACACTACACCGGACCTTTGGACACAAAGACGGCCGAAGCGATGCAAAAGTGCGACCAGAACGGCCCCCTTGTCATACACGTCACAAAGCTCTTCAACGCGACGGATGCAAAGTCATTCACTGCACTGGGTCGAGTGCTGAGTGGTACCGCAACTTCGCCGCAGTCGGTGCGTGTACTTGGCGAAGGCTATACAATTGAGGATGAGGAAGACATGGTTGTTGCCACAGTGACGGATACTTGGATAGCCCAATCGAGGTATAATATCCCAGTCAGCGGCGTGCCAGCAGGCAATTGGGTGTTACTTGGCGGTGTCGACAACTCAATAGTCAAGACGGCAACAATCGTAGCGACCAAGCTGCCGGAAGAGGAGGACGCTTACATCTTCAAGCCTATCAAGCACTTTTTTGAATCCGTTTTCAAGGTCGCCGTCGAACCGATCAACCCCTCTGAACTGCCAAAGATGCTTGACGGTCTCCGCAAGATTAACAAGTCATATCCGTTAATCACAACAAAGGTCGAGGAGTCGGGAGAGCATGTGGTTCTCGGTACTGGCGAGCTTTATATGGACTGCGTATTGCACGATCTCCGACGACTGTATGCTGACATGGAGATCAAGGTCTCCGATCCAGTCACCCGGTTCTGCGAGACCGTCGTCGAGATGTCTTCAATGAAGTGCTACGCTTCCACTCCGAACAAGAAAAACAAGCTCACCATGATTGCTGAGCCGCTAGACCCAGGAATCGCTGAAGATATCGAGGCGGGCAAAGTCAACATCAAGGATCCTGTCCGTGTAGTCAGCAAGTTTTTTGAGCAAAACTATGGGTACGATCTGCTTGCAGCCCGCAATATCTGGGCTTTCGGGCCAGATGACATGGGCCCCAACATCCTACAAAACGACACACTCCCTACAGAGGTCGACGGTAAGATTCTTCGAAGCGTGCGAGACACTCTTCGACAGGGTTTTAGCTGGGCCACGCGTGAAGGCCCGCTTTGCGAAGAGCCTATTCGCAACACAAAGTTCCGTCTTACCGATGTTGAGCTTGCATCGGAAGCTATTTTCCGTGGTGGTGGCCAAATCATTCCCACGAGTCGACGAGCATGCTACTCATCATTCCTTATGGCGAGTCCCAGATTGATGGAGCCGGTATACTCGTGCAGTATGATTGGCCCAGCCGACACAAAGAGCAGTCTTTACACGGTTCTTGCACGGAGAAGAGGGCACGTCCTACAAGATGGACCTATTGCAGGTACTCCACTTTACAATGTGCGCGGACTGATCCCGGTCATCGACTCTTTTGGTTTCGAGACCGATTTGAGGGTACTTATACAATCCACTCGAAGGCAAACATATACTAACTCTGGGTAGATTCACACACAAGGCCAAGTCTCTCTCTCCCTTGTATTTGATCGCTGGTCTATTGTCCCTGGCGACCCTCTCGACACAAGCATCTCAACCCGCCCCCTCGAACCCGCCACCGCACAACAACTAGCACGTGATTTTGTGCTCAAGACGCGACGAAGAAAAGGTCTTGCCGAAGATGTTACTGTCAAAAAGTTTTTGGAGCCCGAGCTATGTCGTAGTTTGATGGAAAGCGGCGTGCTGGAAGGATAGGAGATGTATGTCTATAATATCATGCAATGGAGTAATGGCGTCAACGCAAGATTTTGAATGAATGGAGGAGGTAATTCAAAAGCATCATGAGTAGGAAATCCTGTGCCAGGGATCATCGAGTAGGATTGGCAATAAAATATACCCGTCGCCGTGTCCATTCTGCTCTCTATCTCTGTAATGTGCTTCGGTGTTCACAAGCGGACTTTATAAGCAAAGCAACATTGAATACAGACTCGATTTGCTAAAGTGAGCACCTAGACATGCGAATGTAAAGAAAATGGTATAGATATTCGGGTATCAAACACAAGCCATATCCACGACCGAGCCTCTTTAAAAAAAGAACCCCCCCACTTCGCCAACACGAAACAAACACCATAAAAAGAGACAAAACATACGCCCACCCTGCCCACCTGCACCAGACGACAAACAACAATGAGCCGCATCCCCTACTAGTATTCCTGCTCTTCCTCACTCTCCTCGGCAACAACCTCGTCCTCAATCTCCTCATTAACCAGAACCCCCATTTCGTACGTCTCCTCCCTGACCCCCTCGGCCTCGTCCCACTCGACGCCACAATCCTCCATGATAAGCAAGACGGCGGCCTCGGGCACCATAACCTGCTGCACAAACGCGGCGACACCGGACGCCTGGACAACGGCATCACGGCAGCCCTTGATATCGTGCTTGAGTAGATCGAGAATGTTCTCGGTGATGAGGCGGCGGCCGTGTGGACCGTAGTAGCCCGGGTACGCGGCGCGGTCGTCTAGAGCGTAAGCCTCGAGTTCTGCCTGGTGCGAGGGCGATAGATCTGTGCGTTTGGAGGGGATGGATGCTGCTTTTCCTGTTAGAGCCACGGGTTCGTATCTGGATCTGTGGGGGCTGGGGCGCTCGTTCAGTAATATTTGGCGGAGGGTGGATTCGTGGGATTTGAGGCGGCGAGGGAGGAGGGTCCAATTTATGGCGGGGTAACCCGCAGAGGTGTAGGCTTGTTGTGCGGAGAGCTTTTTGTGGAGGTGGCAGAATGCGGATTTGTGTTTTACGGTTTTGGGCTTGGAGGTCCAGAAGGTCCAGTAGTCGGAGGAGGAGACGGGGTGGCTGCAGAGGGGGCAGCGGGTGCCTTCTTCTTCGATTTCTGGGAGGTGCTCGATGTAGTTGCTTACTTCGTCGAGGTGGTTTTGGGCGGCGCTCGAGTCGGGTTGTGAGGAGGGAGGGTCGTTATTTTCTTTCCAGGAGTTGAGTTGTTTCAGTAGTTGGGCTGATTTTGCGGCTTTCTTGGACTTTTCTGACATGGGTTGTTCCGATATTGAATCGAGCACTTCGGATAGGTTTTCGTCATCATATGGGTCAGCCCCGGTGTCCTTGTCTTTGGTTTTCTTAGATTTTGTTGCTCTACTATTCACTCTCCGTAAATCGTCGTCATCGGAAAAATTAGGTTCACCCAGTTCTTCCGCGAGTTCTTGCAGCTCATCGTCATCCAACATGGAGACACTTGAGACACTATCAGAGTCCTGGCTTGGTTGCTTGTTCTTTAATTGACTTGCTGGTCCATATGTTCGCACAGCAGGTTTGGATAGACCCTTCCCAAACTTTTTTGGTGCTGATGAGTGAATGTTTTTCGTTTTTGAATCATATCCTTTCGCATTCTTGTTATTCTTCTGAGAGACGTGCTCCATACCCCACCGGATTGGCCCGTCGCTAGTTGACGCTTGGGAAGATGCGAGAGCATTCTCCTTGTCTTCAGTTTGCCTATCTCCCGCCTTGAGTTCTTGGCTATTTTTGAATGCACCCCTGGTTGGTGCTCGTATTGATGCATTCTTCTTCGCAGGCTTCCTCTGGGGTCTCTTCAATTCGGTATCCACGTTGCGAAGTGTTGGCATAGTGGGTTTCGAGGACTCGGCTGATCGTGGTGGGGGAGCACGTAGCTCATCGTCGGAGGACAGTGGATCGGCATTGATGTCGATTTCTTCTTGTTGCTTTGCAGGAATTGTCTTGTCCGCTCGTCTTTTTCCCGCCGGCTCTTCGTGATCATCATCGGTCGCATGGCGCTTCCCATTTACAGAGCGGAGCAGTGGACGAACATTCCGCCTAGTCAGACCCGCCATTGTCGCATAGGATACTGCCACCAGAATATCCTAGAATCAGATGGTGCCGGTAAGAACTGACACTATGTGAATCGATTATGCGCTCATGCGGAGACATGCGGACGATTTGTCCAACGCGAGACGCGCAGAGACCGCGTCTGCGCTAGTCTTATCTTATCGTCAAGCTCCGCCAAAAAAAGTTCCAGTCGCATAGCAGCGCATCTTCAATTCCACAGTCCACATACCTCTATCCCACAGCACAACCGCCCGCCATGGCCCTAGACGACTCCCTCCAGCAGCCGATCAATTTTACTGGCCATCGCCACCTGATTTCCCGCCTCCTACTTGCAACCCTCACCGGCCGACCCGTTCGCATATCGCAAATTCGCTCTTCGTCGACCAACCCCGGTTTAACTCGCCATGAAACAAACTTCATCCGACTCCTCGACTCGGTAACGAATGGCTCGCAGATACAATTTAGCATGACGGGCACAACGCTCGTCTACCGCCCAGGACTTATCACAGGCTCAGCCGAAGGCCTTGGCGCAAGCGGAGGCGTAATCCGCCATGAGATACCCGCAGAATGCAGAAAGCGAGGAGTAAGCTGGTGGCTAATTCCTCTATGCATCCTTTCGCCATTCAGCAAGGGCAACATGAACGTCATTTTCCACGGCGAAGGCTGCGTCACTTCATCCACAATCGCCGGCGACGTTTCAGCAGACACAGTCCGCACCGCTATACTGCCGCTCTACAAAAACTTTGCCATTGAACGAAACATCGAACTGCGCATCCTCAAGCGCTCATGCGCCCCTGCAGGCGGCAAAGGCGCAGGCGGCGAAGTCCAACTCGTATTCAACCACCAAGTCCGTCTCCCCAAGACGCTGCACCTCTTGAACCCAGGCCGCGTCAAGAAAATCCGCGGCGTAGCATACTGCGTCGAAGTCCCCAAGACAAACAACGAACGCATGACCTTCACCGCTCGAGGAATCCTTAACAAATTCGTACCAGATACGTACATCTTCTCAGACGCAAGTCCCGCACCTTTAATCCCTACCAACGCAAAGGGTCACGCCTCCGGCAAAGTCAAGGGCGCGGTGGGCTTCGGTATCAGTCTCGTCGCGGAAAGCAGCACAGGTTGTATATACTCGGCCGATGTGTGCTCCCCACCCGACGGTGGTGTCCCTGCAGACGAAATAGGCAAACAGTGCGCGTATCAGCTGCTCGAGAAGATTGCCCAGGGAGGTTGTGTGGAAAACGTAGCCGCACCCACGGTCCTCATGCTCATGGCTATGGGCAGTGAAGATGTCGGTAGAGTGGCGCTGGGCAAGGAGGTACTGGCCAGCGAGGAAATCATCCAGCTAGCCAGGGACGCAAAGATGTTCGGGGGTAGTGCATGGGGCTTTAGAGAAGCGGGGGGTGAAAGAGAAGAAATCGTTGTTAGCGTCGTAGGAAAAGGAGTGGGTAACGTGGGAAGAAAAGTGGCGTAAAGCCTTTTTTTTTCTATATTCATTCTTGGGACACACACAAAAAAAGCGAAAAAGAGCATCTTCTATCCGTGTATACAAATTAATGATACCCCTCAATATTCTTACCTCAATTGCACACACACACACACACACACACACATACACGCACATCCCAAGGCTGCACACACGCACAAAAAAACACAGGGGCAGTCAATTGTATTCTATCTCAAATAATTTTCATTCAGGCAAACGCGTTTGCTTCATGTCGAAATAAAGCCAGGCCATTCTTTCATATTCTATTCCGACTATAAAAGCCAAGCGCAACAAGGGATCTTTTACAAACGCCGCCCAAATGGAAGTCACCCGAGTTCAACGATTAGAAAACGAGAAGCAAAAAAAAACGCCTGTCGTACGTAGGACACGCAGATGCGAGCTTGAACTTCAAGACAACAAGACAGAGGGAGTATGTTTATGCATGAGGGAGAGAGAGGAATGGGCCATCTACTTCCTCCCTACGGAGCTGCCTCCACTTCCGCTTCCCTCTTCCTCCTCACTCTCTTCATCACGCGCATACTTCTCGTTGAAACGTTCCTGATCCCTATACGGACCCTCGTTGCCATCATCGTCACTCAGGAGATCCTCATCGGACTCGCCCGCAAAAGCATCGTAAAGCTCACCACCCCTCTTCGCACGCTTCTTCCTTGCACCAGCTCCGGCACCAGAAAGCAAGCCGGCATCATCTCTGTCCTCGTCACCATCCAGAACCTCGAATTCGTACGCGTCGCGCGAGTCCTTGATGCGCTTGCGGCGGGCAATGAAGAGGTAGGTGCAGAGGCCTGCGATGAAGACGAGGATGAGGCCGAGAGCACCATAGATCCAGATTTGGGTGTGCTTGGAGACACCAAAGGTGGGGAAGGGGCTGGGAAGGAAGTTTTCGCTCGCATCGGCGGTAACCTCCGTTGCTGTTGCGGTGGGCGCGGTGGCAACAGAAGTCTGGGAACTACTGTCAGCCGGCGTTGAAGTGGGTTTCTGGTTGACGGGGCGATCGGGATGGTCAGCAGGGAGGGAGGTGATGGTTGGCTCAGCACTAGAGGGGACAGCGACGCTGGTGACGTGCGCGGGATGATCGTCAATCTTGTCGTGGTCGTCGTCCTCGTGCTCATCGGGCATTGGATGGGGCTTGGCTTTGGATGCGTCAATGCATTCGCCCCAGAGACGCAGCTTCCAGTCGGTGAAAACGCCAGTCTTGCCGTTGCCTGCTTTTACATCTTTGATGATAACGGTCCAGTTGCCAATGGCGCTTTCGCCCCAGTGGGCGACTGACATAAAGGTCCAGTCAATGTAACCATAGGGCGCCTCGTCCGAGCGGCGCGCAGTTGAGAGGTGCGAGACCATACCATTTGGCGATCGCAACTCAACACTGAGGTCTCCACGACGCTGATGCTCTACGTTCATAGTCAAGGTAATATGCTCCACACGCTCAAAGTTTGCATTCTTGAGCATGTCTGGTGTGACTTCGAAAGAACTAGCGAGGCCCATGTCGCCCTCTGGGATTGGCTTTCGGACGTGCATCCAGGGTGAGTAGAACCAGGCTTGAGGCTTGACGAGCTCCCAGGTCTTGGCCTTTTCAACAATCGCATAAGCGTCGAGCTTTCCGTAACCAAATTGGTGGCTATACATGCGGCCAAAAGGCGTCTTGGTCCAGTCGCCAGGGGTAGTCAGAGGGACAGCGGTCATGACTGTGAGCCACTGGACATCGCGCCATGTCAATTCAGGCCGAGCTTGGAGCACCAGAGCATACACTCCCACGCCAATTGGCCCAGCAGCAGATGTGCCTCCGTGTGAGCTGGTACACTTGTTCAAGCCCACGTCGGTCGTGTGAATGGCATCGCCGCCGCCACTGCTGTACGTTACAACAAGCTGAGCAGAGCATGCCTCAGAGTAGTATGGGTGGTCATTGTTCTGGTCAATGGCGCCGACAGTGATGCTGTAGATGCTATTGGTATAACCGTCGAAGTTGCAGTTGTCGCCGCTGGCTGCGCCGTTGCCGGCTGCGAAGACATAAATGTTGCCCTTGCCGCCACGGCCGTTCTGGACAGCGTTTACCATGGCCTTCTCAATAAGAATTCCTGGTGCCTGCATGGTTTTGCCATCGTCAGGGGGACCCCACGAGCACGAGTAAATGTCATTCTTCTGCATCTCGTAGTTTATAGCAAGCGCCTCATCAACGTCTGTAATGTCGCCCGAGAGGATGCGCACGCCAGAGACCTTGGCTTCGTAGGCGAGTCCAAGTCCACAGGCATCGTTCTTTCCCGCAGCAATTTCTCCAGCACATCTTGTTCCGTGGCGGTCGTCAGAGAGTTTTGGGGTGGGTAAGTCTTCGTGATCATTATAGTCGTGAGAGCCCTCGGCGAAAAAATTGTCTTTCAAGTCGTTACTGGTGTAATCCAAACCATCGTCCACAACGCATGCAGTAACGCCTTTGCCCGTGATGCCCTGCAGCCACACGCCGGTGACGTTGATATCATTGCCCTGAGCCTTGACGTTGAAAATATGCCACTGCTCCTCGAAAATGGGGTCTTTGATTTGTAGCTGCTCTGCGACCTTGCGCTGAGCTGTGATGGCTTCCGTGACTGGGACGGCTCGATCTGGCAGGGGAGGTATTACACTGCGCTTCCAGTGGCGGGGCTTGAGCTTTTGCTTCTGCGCGAAACGGATGCTGTCAAGGGGGTGGTACTCGGCGCCGACCTCACGCTTCCGCCGACGCTTCTTGAGCTCTTGCCGTGCATCGTCTACAATGTCGTTGTCATGTTTCGGGGCTTTGAAGATGTAGTGATGGTCGAGCGAGTCGAAGGGGCCGTCGTACGTCAAGCCCAGGTGGGCGGCGACTTCTGAGGGAGACTCGGAGGGAGAGATGTGGATGGCATAGTAGTCGTGGCTCGTGTAGTTGCGGGGTGGGAGGCGATTTCCTGCTGCAGCGAGCGTCGCCACCGACAGCAGGCCCCAAAGGTGAATGCGCATGGCGAGGGCGCCGAAAGAAACGGAGACTATGAGCAGCCGGCTGCGATCATGTAGTAGCTGAGGCGCGTTGCACGGGGCTGGGCAGGTACAGACGACTGTCTATGTGCGGGGCGCAGGAAACCTGAGAGTTGAGGGGCTCGGGCTCAGGGATGAGGATACTGTGGTCGTCGGGTGAGGGTAGGGATGGATAGATGGCTAATTGTTGGGCTTATGGAGAAGCCAGATTGCGCCGGCTAACCTGAGGGATGCGGAGTACCAGAGACAGGGATAGGTCAGGCCAACCGTGCCAGCGGGTGTACAGGAAGCCAAAGAAAATGCAGCCAGGGGATGGATGCAGGCGAAGACGCGGAATGTCGAGTAATTGAAGAAGACAACAAGGGCTCTCGGCGCTGGTATGTGGTCTGGAGTGGGAACGTGGCTGAAGGGCGCGGTGAAACAAGCATTTGTGAGAGAGTGTACTCTGCTGTCTGCCCTCGCGCCACACACGCCTTGCCTGTTTGGGCAGTCCGCATCCGCACTTGTGCTTACATGTGCAGACGCCGATACTAACAGAGACAGCCCACTTAGGCGCCGAGCCTACTCGACTTGCTGCGTACTAGTGCTGCTAGCAGGCCTGCCAGGCCATGCCAGGCCAGGCCTGCTGCTCTGCTGCTCTGCTGTGCCGCCCGCCGGTGGGTGTGGGTGCATGTGCATGGGTCGAGGCGGGCGGGCGGGCGGGCGGCCGTGGCAGACGCTGTCTCCAGCCATCTCTTTCACGCCCTCCCGCCACCCATTTCCACCATGCGCTGACCATGGATATCAGTCTCTGCCCTGCTGCCCTCCCGCTCCTCCTCCTCCCTTGTATATAGCATCTTCCTGTAGTGTGGCTCCTCCGTCGTCATTGCGCTTCAGTTGGACCCGAGTTTTTTGCCCTGTCTGTCTGTCAGCGCCTCGACCGCACCGCCACACTTGTTCTTCGTACCACACCTACAGTAGGTAGCTACCGCAAATGTTACCACTCGAGCCGCTTCTCTAAGGGTCCATGTGACAGTGCTCCCTGCGCACAGAGTCTGCATCCAGCCTGAGATCTGTCCCTCTTGCACCCAGTGGTGGTGGCCCCCACTCGCTTCACCATTGCCCGCCTCATGAGCCCGTCGCAACATGGAAGATACCAAGCGGAACAGCGGCTCCTACGCCGAGCGAGCTGGCAATATTAATATTGCTCTCCGCAAGACGCCGGACAGCTCTGCCCCAAGGCGCGCAACGTCATACCGTCGCCCAGCCGATGCCCAACCAGCTGGCGCATCTCCACCCGAGACCGCCATGTCCACCGCCATGCCCAGTAACACTGCCCGCCCAGTCGTAGCTTCCTCCTCAGATCCTGTCACTCAGAGGCGCCGGAACAGCAAGATTATCCTTCCTCCCACCACCGGCGCAATGGGCGAGTCCATACCGGCTGCGCCAGACGTACCGCGCGCACCACCCTCGTCGTACAGAGACCCATACTCGAGGGGTGTCAGGGTCCCGGCACGCACAAGCTCTGGGCGGGCGCGCGATCCAGCTATCCAATTGAACCCTAGCAGGCAACAGGCGACCATCCAAACAGCCGCAGACAGACTCTACAACCTACGGTCACCGCCATATGCTCCCGTCGAGCCACTGGCAGGAGCTGTAGGGCGCCGAGGCTCCCAACGTGGTCCTTCTGTGCCAGACCGTTCACCGCTCCAGAAGCTGGAAGGCAAGCTGGATGACATCAGCAAAGAGGAGAGGAGAGCGAGGATACTGGAAGCCGAGTTGGCAGCGCAAGAGAAGGCTGAGGCCGAGGCACGGGAAAGGCGAGCGCGAGAAGCCGCTCAAAACCAGCAGCGAGTCGTATCTCAGCCCGTGGCAACACCAGACAACACCTCTGGTGCGCCCAACCGAGTAGGTAGTAGCAAGCGTCATGTTTCAATGCCAACAGAGAAGAAGCATGCGTCTCCGCAAATAACTCAGTGGGAATCCGACAATGGCTTCATTTACGATATCAACGAGCCCTGGGATCCTTCTCAACCCGAGGGCGGAGCAGTCCAACCCGCTCAACAGGCTACCAGGCACAAAGGCCAAGCTGTTCCGCGAAGCACCAGTCTAAAAGGCAAGGAGCCGGTTAGGGGCTCACCGCACAGTGGTAGTTATAGCGACCGAAGCTCACTTCCTTCGCAGAAAAACCACAAGCCTGCTGCTGATGCTGCAGGACTTGGCCTGGTCGGTGTAGACGATACATCTGCCGGGGCTGAAGTCACTCGTGCCGAAAGCAAAAGAGTCCAGGGGAAAAGAGATAGCCGAGGAGGCATCATGGCCGCGCAAACGGACATGCCGCAAGAGTCTGTTGACCAAAAGGCGGCGCCACGTGTTGTCGATATCCCACCAACCAAGCCTCGCATGCCACCTGTACCCAAGACTACCCCGGTTATGCCCCCAGTGCCCCAGACGAATCGAAAGAGTGTCGTTTTCTCCGAGTCAGAGTCTGAGTTGGATTTTCATGATCCCGAGAAGAAATCTCGCCATCGTTTCAGCCGCCACGGCGAGCCGGAGAGGACATACACGCCCAAGGCAGTGCTCGATGAATGGAAAAATGCCCCGGTCGGCGCCCTTGTTGCTGACGATCTTGACTTGAACGCCCCAGTCACGGCTAACAGCGGCAACAAGGCATGGTGGGAAGAAACCAAAATGGCCCGACGGAGACGTTCTAACAGCTACGCGGAACCCATGTACGATGGCTATGCCGATGACACACATTTGCCAACCAGCTTTAACCCGCCACTGTATCTCAAGTGTGGGCCGCTTCTGCGCTACACAGGCCTTCGCAAAGACCGCAGCAAACCAGGCCAAGAGCGCGAGATATGGCGAGGCAGTGTCATGATTGTCACTGTTGACGCGTCCTCGTCTTATTCCAAGCCACCGACGTTACGACTGTTCAAACAGCCAATGGATATCCTACCTCCACCACCGGAAGAGGTAGATCATGATCAGCTTGACCCATCATATATCGATCCTATCGAAGGCCAGACCAAAGTGTCGCGCACCGGCAAGACGTTGTTCGTCAGGCCTATTGATGAGATTGTCGAGGACGTAGATCTATCGCGCGTCGAGAACAGCACAGGGCTATTCTCCAAGACTAGGAGCACTGCTAACGGATCGGCTGCTAAGTCCACTCGCATCCACAAGCGAGACGGTGAGAAGCTAGGCAAAGTACGCGACTTCCCTGGTATTCGCCTGCACGCTGAGCGGGGTGTGACTTTCTGGCGCTTCAACATTGAAGTTGAACTCGGGACTAGCCAAACACGTATCGCCTACAAGATCAACCAGGGCCCAGCTATTGGGTTTTGGGTACCTGCTAAGGGCGAATCCATGAACATCATGTTCCACAGCTGCAACGGCTTTTCTGCTAGTGTCGATCCCGATGAGTTCTGTGGTCCAGATCCCATGTGGCGTGACGTCCTCAATACCCATCAGACCCGTCCGTTTCACGTAATGATTGGTGGGGGTGATCAAATTTACAACGATGCTGCTATGAGGCAGACAACCTTGTTCAGACAATGGACCGAAAACAGGAATCCATTGCACAAGCACCATCAACCATTTTCCGAGGAGATGCAGAATGAGCTTGAGCAGTTCTATCTAGATCGGTACGCGATGTGGTTTTCCCAGGGTATGTTTGGCTTGGCCAATTCACAGATTCCTATGATCAACATTTGGGATGATCATGACATTATCGACGTAAGTTTGGTCCTGCGATAGCATCTGAACGTTATCTAAATTAATGATTTAGGGCTTTGGTTCATACCCCCACCACTTCATGCAAACTCCGGTTTTCACAGGAGTTGGCGCCGTTGCCTTCAAGTACTACATGCTCTTCCAGCACCAGTCCGTGCCTGCAGAGACCGAAAAGACAGAGCCTTCATGGGTACTTGGTAAAAGTCCCGGTCCCTACATCAAAGAGCGATCAAGAAGCGTTTTTATGCGACTTGGTCGGCCTGTGGCCTTTCTTGGTCTTGACTGCCGTACGGAGCGGCAGCGGGACGAGATACTTACCGAGGACTCATACGACATCATCTTTGACCGTCTTGAAGATGAGATTATCAAGGGCGAGACTAAACACTTGATCGTACTCCTTGGCGTGCCCATTGCCTATCCTCGATTGAACTTTCTCGAGAATATCCTGACTAGTAGGATCATGGATCCCATCAAGGCTCTTGGTCGCACTGGTATGCTGGGTAACTTTGTGAACAAGTTTGACGGCGGCGTGGAGATTCTAGATGACTTGGATGATCACTGGACTGCAAAGCACCACAAGGAGGAACGCAACTGGTTCATTCGTGAGCTGCAACACATTGCCTCCACCAAATCTGTGCGTGTCACAATACTTGGTGGTGATGTCCATTTGGCAGCGGTTGGTCAATTCTACAGCAACAAAAAGCTCAACATACCAAAAGACAAAGATCATAGGTACATGCCAAATGTCATTTCCTCGGCCATAGTCAACACGCCGCCTCCCGATATGATGGCAGATATCATCAACAAACGAAACAAGATACATCATCTAGACTCGGAGACGGATGAAGACATGATAGCGCTATTCACCCATGGTGTGGATAGAAAAAAGAGAAACAACAATCATCTCCTCCCCCACCGAAACTGGTGCAGCATTCGAGAATACAAGCCAGGATCTACACCGTCACAGACACCGTCACCACCTGCGACCCCAGATGGTACTGGTGCGGGAAGATCATTCGCTGATTTTGCACCTGGTCAGCTGGTGAGACGGTTGAGTGGACAGCAAACCAGGCCTTCTGCACGGCGCCAGGGCCCTCCTGTATCATATCGCAATAACCCGGCTTATGCAGCTGCCGATGACCAGCAAGTGGGCCACCATCAGCTGAAGTCTTCGTTTTCACCCGATCGATCGGAGCCAGAGAGGCCTGCTCATCCTCGACGCAATTCTTTATCCTCTCTATTCCGTCGTCGACCTTCAATGGATGGCGACCGCCCAGGCACCTCGGAAAGCACAACGCCTCGAGGCCGCCGGAGCCAATCTCAGGACCGACCGTCCAACTTCCATCGTCGCCCTAGCGTACTAAGTAGAAAGAGCGTGAAGAAGCAGGAGTTCATCAACCTCGAAGGTGGTCTTGATATTTGCCTCAATGTCGAAGTTTCACAGCACGACCCAGCAGGTATCACAACACCATATCGGCTTCTTGTGCCAGCTCTCGATTATGTCGAACCTGAGTCTGATGCCGAGGTAAAGGAACCCCGTAAACCTCGAGGCTTCTTCCGCGCTTTTGGTGGAAGACGTAAGGCTACCATCGGTGAAGATGGTAACTCTATTTCGGGTAGCGAAAGCGGGAGCGAGCTTGGTGAGATTTCTAGTGAAGATGAAGAAGAACGCAAACGACAACAGTACAAAGTCGGGCCCAGGGTAGTGATTCCAGGTATTGGTCCACGTAACGGACGGGGGTCTGCCTCTGCTCCTACCACACCTGCAATACCAACTCCAGCCATGGCACCAGCCTCTACTGCTACTGCTGCTGCCGCTACCACCACTGCCCCTCGTAACGACCTCCTCAGCTCTGGTTTCCATGCCAATTCAGCCCGGACAGCAGGCCCAGCTCAGTCTGATGGGGCCGTTCACAATCCTGCGGCTCGAATCCAAGGACGTCGAAGTCTGGACACTGGGCCGAATGCCGGTGCTAGAGCCTTTGCTTGGGACAGTGTCGCTGCGAAGAGGAATGCGAGTGCGCCTCAGCATCCCCAAGCGACTGCACTTCCATCTCGCTCCGCTTCCACCCGCATCCAGCCTACATATAGCAACTCTTCCCACAAGTCACAACTACCAGCAACCCATCCGGATGATCCTCTGACAGTGAAAAGGAGACCAGTAGGGGCTACTGGAGGCCAGAGCCCTTACGGTCTCACTGCGACGCAATCACAAAGGCGAGCCAAGCGTGAATCATACCCACCACATCCCGCAATTGTTGGTGCAGGCCCCGGTTCGCCGTACGCACGCGACGGACAAGGTCTACAGCCCCGACAAGACACCGCAGGCGGCGACTACTTCAGCAGCGGCGGCCGCGACGGCCAAAGTCACCCCGCCATGGCCCCCAGACAAGTAATCGACCCCGAGTACACGGAAAAACCAGTCCAACGCGCAGACTACGCCGCCCAACCCTCCCGAGGCGGCTATGACCGAACAACCGCTACATACCCCACCTACCCGCAACGCAACGGCAGCGTCGGCACCGCAAATCGCTATCTCGGCGGCGGCGCCCCCTCTGACGATGAAGATAGCTTCGACAGCGCTACCGAAGAGGAAACGGGCTTCGCCGAGCAGCAGCAGCAAGGCGAACAGATGAGCCAGGACAGCTTCATTGTTCCCAAGCAGAAGAAGAAGTGGCAGATTTGGAAGTCTTGAGCTGCTGTTTCTTTTACTTTTTTGGGTTTCTTTAATATGATCTCAACCTTTCCCTTGTCCCCACGCTTTGGGGACAGGGAAAGAAACTTGGATTGGTAATGATGTTATGATTGGACTTTTTTCTTTCTTATGAACACACACTTTTTGGGGGGTGTTATTTCTTGGGGTGAAAAACCAGGGCGTATGATGGGCTCTTTTTTTTTGAGCGGTTCTTTTCACGTTCTAGATATCCTCCACTTGCTTTATTTTTACTCATTGTTGTTGATGAATCATACGTATTATCAGTCTTGATATTACTTTGCTATTGTGAATATGAGTTGATATGTTGATTTGTTGGTTTAGATCTTCAGCTCAAAAAATCTCAGCATATTTGTTCCTGTTATGGTTCTTTTGAGTATGTGTAGTTAATTCGTATAACATTAATTACATAAGAGTACCATTGCTTCAAAAAAAATTACTGCGTAAGTGTATGCATGCATACAGAACGCAAAAAAGCAAAAAAGCCTACCCAATATCGTAGTTGGAAGTAGGGCAAAAAGAAGGAGATATAGTCCTGGTGGGGCTGAAACAGCTGTTAGTAAAGAAAATCGAAATGATTTCTTGCGGGAGAAACCTACTTCGAACCCACGGCATCCGCATAACCTTGGATGAGGTCATAAGAGTCTGACGAATCTTATAAGAACGGCGCGCTACCACTGCGCCACAGGACTTGATGTCCTTGGACTGAATTTTAGTGTTTTTTGAAATTTTATAATTTATATTCACTGCAAGATACTGTGAGCAACGCAGCTCACGGCGTTCGAGACCCTTGGTTGTACAGGCAGCATCTTCGATCCCGAGCGGGGTAGCGCAATACCGGTGAGTGATGACACAAAGGGCGCCGCTAGCCGCTGGGGTGGCTGGCGTGAGGGGTCGGTCGGCCAACCACATCCGCGTAGTTCCACGTACCACGTCTACCACGGTGCTCTTTCACATTTGTTACTTGTCATTCTTGTTCTTACAAGACATTCCCGCATTTGAAAGAACACCTCTCTTAGTAAGTAGCACTTTTGGTGTCTCCTTATCTATTGCAAGGGCATCTCAAAGTGGCGGTCTGCATCCTTGCATATTGCTTGTTGGGAGAGCATCATGGACCTAGCAACGGAGCTGGGCATAAGCATACGACAACGCAAAGACTAACGATCTTATTTATCCATCTCATAATCTTGCAAGCTGACATCTCCAACAGGCGCCTGGTTTTCGCAGGCCACCATCATCATGACGATCAGAGCCTCCAAGTTTACGCCCAAGGTGCTCCTTGAAGCACCTCGGAGATCTCATGGCTCCCCAAACTCGGATGCATCAAAAATTTTGTATTCTGTATCGGCTTACTCTTTCTCTGAGCATGAAAAGAAATCCGAGATTCGCCTTTTGGATGTTGAAACTCAACAGACTAGCTTGGTGACTGATGACAAGGCTTTCAGCGAGCCTACGTGGCTCGATGATGAAACAATGCTCTTGTTGAAATCAAATGACGATCGCACAACAGAGCTGGTCATCGGGTCACCAGAGAATTTTGAAAAGAGGTATGTATGGCATTCAGATTACTGTTTTGTTGTCATTAAATCGTTGACTTGCTGCTAGCAAATACACAGCTGGTACTTTAGAGGGTCCAGTCAGCGATTCCAAGGTCTACTCACTCGGCAATGGTACATACGCGCTTGCACTTGTCGGTAAGGCAAAGCCAGATGGCACGATTTTCAACCCAGAAAAGGTCGAAAAATCTCATACATCAGGAAAGCTATACAAATCTGGCTTCGTCCGCCATTGGGATCATTATGTGACTGAGAACCGCAACGCAATATGGCTTGGCAAGTTGAGCACGAAGAAATCAGAAAGCTCAACAGTTCTCAAATTGGAGCAACCATTCAAGAACGCACTCAAGGGTACCTCTTTGGAGAGCCCAATTGAGCCATTTGGAGGCAAAGATCATTTTGATATCTCGAAGAATGGTCTTGTTTTCACATCGAAGGACCCTGACTTGAACCCAGCCACCCATACGAAGACCAATATTTATGTTTCCGCAGCCGAGGGATTTTGGGATGACTTGCATTCAAAGGGTATCCCTGAAATCAAAAAGACTTCGATTGACGGATTCGAAGGCGCGAGTACTTCTCCAGTTTGGTCAAACTCTGGCAAGATGATCGCGTTCTTGTCCATGAAGACTGATGGATACGAGTCAGATAAGAACCAAGCATTCATCATTCACGATTACAAAGACCCGTCGCGGGTCACTCTTCTTTACGCTTCTGAGGATGGCAAGGGCAAATGGGACCAAAGTCCGCAATCGATAGCTTGGAGTCCTGATGACTGGCACCTCTACTTCACAGCGGAGTCGCACGGTCGTGGAAATCTGTACAGCGCTGGTCCTCCTAAGCCAGGTAGTGAGAAAGAGCCTCTTCCCTCACTGGTTGTGAAGGGCGGGACTATCGGCGGTGCACATGTCCTCGATAACGGCGATTTATTCATAACCTCTACCAGCCTGACTGAGAACTCTTTATACTCGCTGGTACCTCTGAGTTCTCGTCCTAATAGCGTGGATACATATAATCTGCCTATTGATGACCGGCCATACGACTCGGATCCCGAAAATCTCACTACCAAGTACATTTCATCCAACACACGCTCAGGCTCCATGTTTGGGTTATCGCGCCATCAAATCGACGAGATCCACTGGGACGGCGCGGCGGAGGGTACCAAAGTCCATGCTTGGGTTATGAAGCCCAGTAACTTTTCGTCGAAAGAGAAGTATCCACTGGCATACCTGGTTCATGGTGGACCACAAGGCGCATGGACCGATGGATGGAGCACGCGATGGAACCCGGCTGTATTTGCCGAGCAAGGCTACGTCGTCATCTGCCCAAACCCAACAGGTAGCACGAGCTACGGCCAAGCCTTTACTGATGCCATCCAAGGCCAGTGGGGTGGATTGCCATACCAAGACCTTGAGTTGGGATTCAAATACATCGAGTCCAACGTCAGCTATGTCGACACAGATCGCGCCGTTGCTCTTGGTGCCTCCTACGGCGGTTACATGATGAATTGGATACAAGGTCACGATCTAGGCCGCAAGTTCAAAGCCCTTGTAACTCACGACGGCGTCTTCAGCATGCACGGCCAGATGTCTTCTGAAGAACTTTACTTCCCCTTCCATGATCTCAAAGGCACCCTCTGGGGTAACCATGATGGCTGGGATAAGTGGGATCCAAGCAGGTATTTCTACCCAGATGTATTCAGCTTTAAGCAGATGCTAATTTAATGATGCAGGTTTACAAAGAACTGGTCTACACCACAGCTTGTCATCCACAGTGAGTTGGATTACAGACTGACGATTGGTGAGGGACTGGCGGCATTCAACGTGTTGCAAAGCAAGGGGATCGAGAGCCAATTCTTGACCTTTCCAGACGAGAACCATTGGGTGCTTAACCCGGAGAACAGTCTGATGTGGCATGAGGTTGTACTGGACTGGATCAATGAGCATGTGGGGTTGGAAAAGTACACAGAGAGCGAGAAGGCGAGCAAGAGGGTGTAGGTCGATTGCATGAAAACATCAGATTGAACAGTTCAGGGCGTTCCATAGTTCAGCTATTGAAAATAAACATACACCCTAACTTTTGAACTACGAGCTCAATAAAAGGCTTTGATTGGACCGAGTGTGGGCGCGTTAAAGGGTGCAGTGCTAGCGCGACTTTGTTATCGATAACAATTATTTTCTCGGAACCTTTGAAGCTTCCTCGGCGGCCAGAACTTTTGCTCCCTCGCGCCGTCAATCCCATCACAACACCAGCAGCAGGTGCCATTCCCTTGCCGTTCACCCAATAGCACCTTGCGACTCATTTGCTGCTATATAATTGCCTGCGCCATCCAAATATACTCGATTACGGAAGAGGAGGCGCCGCCGCCTGCGCAGCTCTCAAGATGCCCAAGAAAGCCATCGACTCCCGCATTCCGGCGCTGATTCGAAATGGCGCACAGGAGAAGAAGCGTAGTTTCTTTGTCGTTGTTGGCGACCGCCAAAAGGACGTCATCGTCAACCTCTACCACATTCTGCTCAACGTCGACGTTAAGCTGAACAAGTCGGTGCTATGGGCATATAAGAACAAGCTACTGGGATTTTCCAGTCACCGCAAGAAGCGCGAAAAGAAGATCAAGAACGAGATCAAGCGCGGCATCCGTGATGTCGACACCGAGGATCCGTTCGAACTATTCATCTCGACGCAGAACATTCGATATGTCTACTACAAAGAGACGGAAAAGATTTTGGGTAACACATACGGCATGTGTATCCTGCAGGATTTCGAAGCGCTTACGCCCAACCTCCTTGCGCGGACAATAGAGACAGTCGAAGGTGGAGGACTGGTCATACTCTTGTTGAAGGGCATGAGCAGCTTGAAGCAGCTGTATACAATGTCTATGGATATCCACTCCAGATACCGAACAGAGGCGCATAGCGATGTCGTTGCGCGCTTCAATGAGCGCTTCCTGTTGTCACTTGGAAAGTGTGATAGCTGCCTGGTTGTCGACGATGAACTTAATGTGCTCCCCATTTCCGGTGGAAAGCACGTCAAGCAATTACCGCCACCGGACCCAGAGTTGGAAGGCAAGACACCAAAGGCGAAGGAATTGGCAGAGATAAAAGAGTCCCTAGCGGACTCGCCTCCCACTGGAGATCTGGTCAAGCTCGCAAAGACTGTGGATCAGGCAAAGGCTCTCCTCACATTTGTCGAGGCAATCGTGGAGAAGACCCTGCGAAGTACGGTTACACTAACAGCAGCACGTGGTCGAGGTAAATCAGCAGCTTTGGGTGTGGCTGTAGCAGCAGCAGTTGCGCACGGCTATAGCAACATCTACATCACATCGCCAAGTCCAGAGAACTTGAAGACGCTATTCGAATTCATCCTCAAGGGTTTTGATTCGCTCAACTATGTCGATCACCAGGACTACACCATTATGCAGTCCACCCAACCCGACCAGAACAAGGCGATTGTAAGAATCGAGTTACACCGCCAGCACCGACAAGTGATTCAATATATCAAGCCAGAAGATTCGCATGTTCTGGGTCAAGCGGAGCTGTTGGTCATTGACGAAGCTGCAGCTATTCCTCTGCCATTGGTACGGAAACTCATGGGTCCTTACCTTGTCTTCATGGCCTCGACGATCAACGGTTACGAAGGTACTGGCCGATCACTGTCTCTCAAGCTCATACAGCAACTTCGCGAACAATCACGAGGCAAGGGTACCAACGGCTCGACCCACGTCGTAGATCGCTCAACAGGAAAGGAGACAAAGGATGCTTCAGAGACTACGATGACAGGTCGCTCGCTGCGAGAAATTACGCTCTCAGAGCCCATACGATACGCACCAGGCGACTCCGTCGAGCGCTGGATGAACGACCTCTTGTGTCTCGACGCAACCCTGCCCCGAAAATCAGCCACACAAGGATGCCCTCATCCTGACAAGTGCCAGCTCCTTCACGTAAACCGTGATACACTTTTCTCTTACAATCCGGCTGCAGAAAAGTTCTTGCAGAAGATGATGGCGCTCTATGTTGCCAGTCACTACAAGAACACGCCCAACGACTTACAGCTCATGTCCGATGCGCCTGCGCACCACTTGTTCGTCCTTACCGGACCTGCAGAGGACAACAAGCTTCCTGAGCCTCTTTGTGTCATTCAAGTGGCATTGGAAGGTCAGATCAGCAGGGAAAGTGTGCTGAACAGTTTGAGCAGAGGGCAGCGGGCAGGTGGCGACTTGATCCCATGGATTGTGTCTCAGCAATTCCAGGATGAGAACTTTGCAAGTCTGTCGGGTGCCCGTGTGGTGCGGATAGCAACAAACCCGGAATACGTCAATATGGGATACGGATCAAAGGCCCTGCAACTCCTGGTTGATTTCTACGATGGCAAGCTCGCAAGCTTATCCGAGACGGAGCCTCAAGAGGTGGAGCAGATGCGAAGGGTCACAGAGGAAGACTTGGAAGATGCATCACTTCTTAAGGATAACGTCAAGGTTAGGGAAGCAAGCGAGATGCCGCCGCTGTTTGCTCGGTTACAAGAGTTGAAGTCTCCCAAGCTTGACTACGTTGGTGTATCATACGGCCTCACCTCGCAGTTGCACAAGTTCTGGAAACGCGCATCCTTTGTGCCAGTGTACCTTCGGCAAACACCCAATGATCTGACCGGAGAGCATACATGTATCATGTTACGCTCGCTCGAGACTACCTCATCAGATGGAAGCTGGGTGGCAGCTTTTGCCAAGGACTTCCAGAAGCGATTCCTCTCTCTCCTCTCCTATCAATTCCGCACATTCCCATCCACGACATCCCTCTCGATAGAAGAGTCTGCCTCAGCAGGATCCAAACTCGACGCCGACCTCGCCGCAAAACCCATCAGCAAAGCCGAACTCGACGCCCTCTTCACCCCCTTCGACCTCAAGCGCCTGGAATCCTATGCAAACAATATGCTAGACTACCACGTCATCCTCGACATGCTCCCTTCCATCGCCCACCTCTACTTCACCGGCCGCCTCAAAGACACAGTCAAACTCACCGGCATCCAAAAATCCCTCCTCCTCGCCATCGGCCTCCAGCGCAAAGAATTCTCCGATGTGGAAAAAGAACTCAAAGATGCAAACGCCAGCCAGCTCATGGCCATGTTCGTCAAGATCATCCGCAAAGTCGCCACCGCCTTCCGCAGCATCGTCGAGGGCGCAGTCCAGGAAACTATGCCTGACGTCATGGAAATTGAAGAGAACGCAGGAACGGCAGATGGGGATGCAGGCCGCTTCAAGCCGCTGGAGAAGAACTTGGAAGAGGAGTTGAAAGAGGGTGGAGAGGAGTTTCTTGCCGAGGATAGAGAGAGGCAGAGGAGTATGATTGATGCTTTGCCTTTGCACAAGTAAGTTTTTTTTCTCCTCTTACTCTACCTATTTTTGAACGCTCTGGCTAACTCGTGTTACCTCCAATAGATACGAAATCGGTGCCGGAGCTGCCGATTGGGAAGACGCCGAGCGCGCTATTAGCAATGCGGCGAAGAAGGGCGCTACAGGCAGCATGACGGTGTCTGTCAAGACGGGCGAGAAGAAGAGGAAAGTAGGGGAGGCGGTGGAGGAGGCGTATAAGGAGGCTGAGAAGTTCAAGGAGAGTGCGGGGAAGAAGAGTAAGAAGCATAAGTCTGGGAAGAGGACGTGAGATGAATGCATAGGGTATTAGGTTGGATGGGCGTTTGATATCCCGTTTTTTTTTTTGAAAAAATTTCGAATCTGGATTTTCTACGTACATGTGTTGTTTATATCGAATGTAATAAAAGTACGAAAGAAAAGTGAAATCTCTCTCGTACTTGCACATCTCTTGTCCATTACACAAGTGTAATTTGTCTAGGAAATCAAGACAAACATGAAATATTAAACAATAGCATTAGTAATCGAGTTGATCAAGAAAGAGAAAACAAGGGGAATAAGATGAGATAAGATAAAATAAGTTGACTACATAAAAGGCTACTACATAACACTTGTCGGGTTGTGTGGATGGGGGTGGCAGTTATAAACACAACTGAAGAACCGAAGGAAGAGAAAAACCCTCCAAAAATGCCAGAAAAGGAATACTGCCAAAGAAGGGTTTGTCAAAAAGAGAAGATTGAGGGGGAAATGGGATATCATGCGCTCTTTGAAAAAAAAAACGGACTGAAAACCAAATGCAAAGAAGGGCGTTGATGTGGAGAGAGGGTGGACGGATATGTGCATGTGTGTGTGTGTGCCTTTGGAACAATCTTCTTTCTTTCTACAGGTTCTCTCTGGTCCCAAAACACACGCATTTTAGGTAGGGAGATTGGGGAGAGCGATGTCGTGAGAGCATGCTTTGCCCCTGTTTCTTTCTTTTCTTTTGCTTAGGTCTCGGTGTGATTACACGCCCTGCGTTATGTATAATCTTCAACTGCATTGTTGAATTCTTCATCAAAGGGTGGGGACGTAGATAAGTTTTGGTTGGCATAGTCGGCATGAGTTCAAAGCTTTACTTAGAAAGCATCTTCGTTAGGGCAGGCCGTAACATCGTGACCCTCGCTTTCGCACAGGGCACACCATTTGTCTGGGTCGGCAATGGCGGCGCCCTTAGGGGGAACGAGGTCGGAGTTGGATGCGGTGAGGGAAGGGTTGGGGAGCGGGGCGGTGGGCGCGCTACCGGGGGTCTTGGAAGGGGTGAGGATGGATGGGCGGCGCTCGGAGAGAGAGCGGTCGGAGATGGAGAGACCGCGGAGGCCTTCAATGACGCCGTCTTTGCCGTTGTGGATGCTGTCGTTTGTGCGGGAGTAGGTGGATGCATCACCGCCCATGGCGGAGCAGTTGAGGATGTCATGGCCACCCGTCTCACAGATCTCGCACCAAAGATGGCTGCTGTTGACGGATGAGCGGCCGTCGGACTCGGGCATTATTGCAAGAGCGGGAGGAGTGTTGCGCTGTGACGAGTCCTTCCAGTTCATGATTGTGTCTTTGGAGTCACGATCCGACGGCTTCTTCTGTACAGCTGTGACTTCCGACACGCCATTGCTAATCATGCTGTCACGTTGCTCGGCAAGACCGAGCTGGCTCTTTAACTTTTCAACCTCACGCTCTAGTTCTTCTTCGCGGTAAGCCTTGCGTTCCACAAGACCACGGAGCTCTTCCTTTTCGCGCTCCAGGCGCTGTGCATCTGCCTTTGCTTGTGCAAGCTCTTCAGCGTCCACAGCAGGGCCTTGTGGTGATAGAGGCGAACGTACACGCTCTTCTCCACCGGAACTCAAGGAATGGATAATGGCTTTGAGCCCTCGGATCTCGTCGTCACGTTGCTCTACCTCTCTTTGACTTGGGCTTTGAGGCGTATCGACCATGGCACCCGCACCCTTCAGAGCTGCAGCGGCCTTCTCTCGCTCACGACGAAGCTCTGATCGGCCACGCTCCACTTCACCCCTGAGGAACTCCACTTCCCCTCGAGCTTCTGCCTCGCCTCGACGCGCATCTTCCAGGCCCTCCTCAAGCTCTTGCACGAGCTCCTCGAGTTGCTTTAGCTGCATAGCAACAGTCTCAACGTCTTCGGTACGAGACTGATATTCCCGTAGCTCTTCCGTTAGCTCCTCGACCTTCTTTTCGTATACACGCTCGGTTTCGGTGCTGGCTAGTTCAAGGGTATCAATGGTGCTTCGGAAGTCAGAGCGATGTGCGTCAAACTCGGACGTGAGCATGGCAATCTTATCGTTCTTCTCTCGCAGGAGTGCTCGCAATTGCGCTACGTCAGTGGGTTCGTTGCTACCATGCGCGGACCCCATGTCCATTCCGTCTTCTGGTATCAGGCTCTGGATCTCGGCAAGGCTTGCCTCCATTTCGCTCAGCGATGCAGCCTGCTCTTTCAGTTGCCTCTCTCGTTCATCCAAAAGCGCCTGTAGCCGCTGCACCTCTTCGCTGGGAGAGGAGCCCAGCCGTGAGCCGGGGCGGCGATGTTTGTAACTGGATATGGAATCATTGCTCGTGCGCGCTGCGCCGATGGGTGTCGTTTCAGTGTCTTCTTCAATAATATCTTGCTGGCCAACGCGAGAGCTGCTCCGCGAGTATGATCGCTGGGGGCCGGGTGTTCGCGGCTTCTGCAGAGGAGGAGCCCTGGGGACAGGACTGGCAAAGCGAGGAGGAGCCGGACTTGCAAAGCGCGGAGGTGCGCCGATTGCGCTCTTGGAGAAGCCAGAGGGTGTGCGTGAGCCACTGCGAGCCGGTGAGGCACTCAAGCCTTGCTTCTGACGATAGGGCGATTCAGGACGTGCAAAGGAGCGGCCCAGGCTGGATTTGCCCTGGGGACTGGTTGCGCGAACACCGGGCCCGATGGACTGGGAGAATTGCGACTTTGGGGCATCGTGGCCGAAGTTTGGTTTTTCGGTGGTGGAGAGGCTGAAGTTGGGATACGAAGGTGTGACTGGCTCAGGCGCAAAGTCAGATGAGCCTCCTGAGACCCGCTTTTGGGCGCGATGGACCGGGAGGAAGATGCCGGAGTTGGGGATCGAAGTGTCAAAGTACTGTGTGCTGTGTCGCCATCAGTGGATGTGCCCAGGAGGGTGTTCAGAAGAGCGGTGGGCATGCGTACCCATCGACTGAGCCGTTGTTCTTGCCCCGCGCGGCGTATTCTCTGTTGAGTTCGACGCCGGCGAAGACTCCTTGCTTGCCGCGAATGCTGCCGACAAACTTGACGACACCGACCATGCCACCAGGGACATCGACGGTGTCGCCTACATCAATGTCCTGGCCGTCGGCGCCCATGCGGTGTGCTGGCGAGTTGCCGCCTACGAGTGCTGAGAGGGAGGCTTGTCGGGCCATGTTTTTGCTGGCGGCGTTTAGGTTGGGCGATGAGGCAGTGGGATGTAGCATCGGTCGCGCCCCAAGGCGGCGAGGAGTCTGGGGATAGGCCATGCCAGGGCGTTGTTTGTCGCAGGGTAGACCTGTTCCTTAGTGTAGGGTAGGTTGGACAGACCAAGGACGGTGTTTGTTTTGATAAGAGGGGACTACAGGGGTCTGGACAGCCAAGTCATGGGCGACGGTAGAGCGTGATTATTTAACCGACAGCTGCCCAATGAATTGCGATCATCCCATTTGGGCGACATGGCGCTCCTAATTGTTCTTTATGCGCCCCGTCCCGCGTTCCCCTGGATGAAGACGCCTATAAACTCTGCGGCTTGACGCCTTGGGGAAATGTCGCTGCGATACTTACCACGCTCAACAAGGCCGCATCACGTCACCCAAACCTTGTGTGTGATAGGGCCGCCCGTGACCAGCCGTCGGTCCTTGGTTCCAAAACGGATCCAATAAAGTCTCCAGCACCAGGCTGTGGTTGCTCCTAGCATGGCAGGCAGGTCCTCGCTGATGCATGCTAGCCGGCTCAACACATAGAGAGGGTCGCCAGTTGTCAATTGTGACACCTCAGCGGTTTTGGCAAGACAAGTTGCATTCAACGCTGCCCCCCGTCTCTACAGGGGATGGTGGACGATAGGTCTAAGGATATACGTTTCCATCTGCGTGGACACGCTCAGCACATTGGCCTTGTACAAGGAAATGGAAAACGTCTGATGAACCGTGGACCGTACGTTGAAGTGGGAGCCGTGCCTTTGCCCACAGACCCGCGAGCTGGCCCTTGCGTGCCGAACATGCGCAAACGCGTGGGCACGTGAGGTCATATCGCCCGGACCAGCACTTCCACAAGTTCCCCTGGCGGCCTGCGTGTATGCAGACAATCTCGCAAAAAATACTCCATCGTGCTATTTAGATGGAGATGCCGTATCTGCTGCTTTCACTTATTAGAGTGGGTGCTATTACGAGCATCTGTTTCAGATTAAGCCAAGGAATATGTGTAGAGGCATGACAACCATCAAGAGTAAAAAAAGACTTTTGGAATCAGTGTCGGACATAACGGACCCAAATGTCAAGGAAACACAACTCCTTTTTTATGTTGATCTGTATTGAACAAGTCTTTTTCCAATGCTCATGCTCATCCCGATTCAGCTCGCTGCGGAGATGCAGCCACTCCCGACTCGCCGAGCCTGATTCCCCCATGTCCAACAATTGCCGAGGCTCATGGCTCGGTGATGCTCAACCGCGCCAGCTACATCACTGTGCGCCCGCGCTTGCCATGCGCTCTCTCCAGACGCACCCACCATGGCTGGCAATGTTCGGCAGCCCATTGATGTAGCCTCCTTGGAGCGCTACATCTCCGCTCATGTTCCTGAAATCAAGGTTCCCTTGGATGTGAAGCAGGTGCGTATGTAGTGGAATGGGAATCAAGCTTGGCCCAAGGAACACGATTTGCTGATACAGAAGCTAGTTTGGTTATGGACAATCGAACCCGACATACCAGTTGACGGATAAGACCGGAAAGAAGTATGTCTTGAGGAAGAAGCCTCCGGGTCAGCTCCTGTCAAAGGTACACACACTTCTACACATCACTCCTCTTTCAACCACCGAGAAAAAAGAAAGCTAACCTGCTTGCTTGCTTGCTCGCAGACTGCACACAAAGTCGATCGTGAATACCGCATCATCCATGCACTGGAAAACACCGACGTCCCCGTTCCACGAGCACTATGTCTCTGTCAAGACGAAAAAGTCATTGGCACCGACTTCTACATCATGGAGTTTCTCGACGGCCGTATTTTCGAAGACCCCGTCCTTCCTGATGTAACTCCAGAGGAACGAACAAAAATGTATGTCCTGAACACCAAACACTTTGTTCAACCTCGATACAATTAACTAACCTGCCCTGTCAGGTGGCACTCCGCCATCACAACCCTCGCAAAATTCCACCGCGTATCCCCTTCCTCCGTAAACCTCGCCTCTTACGGCAAATCCTCGGGCTTCTACACCCGCCAAATCGCAACCTTCAACACAATCTCTCAATCCCAAGCTTCCGCCAAAGATAAAGAAACCGGCGAACCCGTCGGTAAGATCCCGCACCAAGACGACATGGTCGCCTTCTTCAGCGATCACCGCACTCAACCAAAGGACCGCGCGACTTTCGTCCACGGCGACTACAAAATCGACAACGTCGTCTTCCACAAGACGGAACCCCGCGTCATCGGCATCCTAGACTGGGAAATGAGTACCATTGGTCACCCGCTTTCCGACTTGAACAACGTCTTGTCCCCGTACATCACGGCGTCTAGCCAAACTGCAATGTCGATTGGGCGTGCGCACCAGGGCTTTCAGTCCGGAGCTACACCCGGGCTACCCACCTGCGAGCAGCTTATCGCGTGGTACTCCGAGGTCGCAGGGTGGGATCCTCGCCCGGATTTCACGTGGGGGAATGCGTTTAGTACGTATAGGCTTGCTATCATCATGCAGGGTATTGCGGCGCGGTATGCGTTGAGGCAGGCGAGTAGTGCGCAGGCGCAGGAGTATGGGCAGATGATGAGGCCGTATGCTGAGATTGCGTGGGAGCTTGTGCAGGAGGTTAAGAGAGAGAATGAGAAGGCTAAGCTGTAGGCGTGACTGTAGCCGCTGTGTTCAGTTGTCAGTAGATCAATATTAAGCGCAATAAAGGAAGTCATGTTTTGGCATCCAATTGAAAAGCTGTTGCTTTACCCGATTCCGGTGTTGGAAATGCTGAATGGTTGGAGCCCATGGCACTGATTTGATTTCTTTCTCTATCGACCATATGACTCGGATCCTACTTGTGGCCCCCTCGAATGCTCTATTAGTGGCCCCTCTCTGCTATGGTCATATCGAGGGTACTATATATCGCGTAAATAATCCAGTCTGTCAACACAGATGTCGCGCAAGAAGAACAATAAAACACTGTTCTCTGTAAATGGTAAACTGCTCAGGAAAGGAGGAGACCAGGCAGTGAAAAGGAAAAGTGAAGAGGGAAACCTGGTCAAGGCATGCCCAGTAGTTTCTCTTCGCGCCTTATACGCCATATGCGCCGTGAAATAATCTTTCCATACTCTGTGCCATATCGCTTTCTGCTTTGATGCTTTATCTGGTATGCCGATGACTTTTGCTTCCTCATGTCAGGTCGTGTACACACACTCTTTACCGTCCGATCTTGGGGACGTCTTGGTTGATACGGTCGAGGGCCTGGAGCAGGTTGGTTAGCTTATGATTCACTACATTTGTTAGGGACATAGGGAAATTCGTACTTCAAGCATGACTACGGCATTTCCACGAATAACAACCATACCGATGCGCACCTTTTCGCCACCAGCCTTTTCCTCAAGCGCTTCGTCAAGCACAATGTTTAGGTAGACCTGCGCGGTGTGAGCTTTGTTTGGTGAGATCGGGGGGGGATGCGGAATGAGCTTACGTCGTATCCACGGAGAATACCCATGACTTTGCGACTGCCGTTCAACTGCACGAGGACGCGCTTCTCCAGGTACTATGGCTGGGTCAGTAAGAGTGGATTTGGAGACAGCAATTCGAAGCTTACCTTCTTCAACTCGGGCTGTGCTTGAGGCATGTTGGAAGCGGTGGTAAAGCGAAGAGAGATTGGTTGTTTTGTAGGCGGTAACTGGGCGTTTAGGTGACTACGCTCGTGTCGGTTGTGGGTAAACTGGAGTCGCGCGTGGTGTTCGACAAGCAAGAGCAAGTGCTACACATGGTGGGAGAGCTCTGGGGCTTTTTGCGGAGGGCCCGTGCACAGGCACCACCGCCGACATGTGAGCGCGACAGCCAGTCTTCCTCTACAAACTCCCCACGGACTCGAAGTAATTAGAAGAGCGTTGGGAAATAACAGAGAATCACCAAACATGAAACGATCTAGTTCTACGCGTGTGGCGCGCAAGATTGGCAGCTACGATGACGACGAGTCCGCCGATAGCACCAACAGCTCGCAGAGCGAAGTCCAGAAGCCTACAGGTTAGTTGTAACTTCTTCGCAATTGCCAGCCTTTCTGACGTTGGGGAAAATCGCAGCGAACCTTTCCACGCCCACGTGAAAAAGCTGGCAAAGGCTCTGTGCTAACTAAGCCTTGTAGTCGTCAAGCGGCCTGCGCTTGGTAAAGCAAAGAAGCGCTCTTCTCTACGCATGTCGTTTGGTGCTGGCGACGAGGCGAACAATGGCGAGGAATCGAGCGATTCAGCGGTTGTAACTCCAAAAAAGGCGAACCTCAGTCGCATAGCGTTGGAGAAGAGCGCACAACTACGGGCCCAGTCACCACTCGTATCGGAATCTGCGAAGCCTACCGAATACAGCAAGGATTATATTGCTGAACTAAGAAACTCGACGCCGTCAACACCCAGAGACCTCAAGATATCTGCCGAAGAAGAGGAGGAGATTCGCGAGCTGGATATTGCAGCAAAGTTTGGGCCCGTCGCGTCGCTCGAGACGACGTCATCTGCAATTCCTACCGAAGCAGAGATACGGGAAAAGAAAGCGCGGAGGCGACGCTTAGCACACGAGGAGAACGCATATGACGACGAAGATGCAGCCTGGGCATCCGATGACCAAGGAGAAGACGAATTCAGACAACACAGAGACAAGATTTCCCTTCGACCCAAGGACAAATGGGGAGAAAGCCGCCTAGTCCACGACGACGAAGACATCGCCGAAGGCTTCGACGACTACGTAGAAGACGGCAAGATAGCCCTTGGTCGCAAGTCGGAAAAGGAAGCCCAGCGACGACGGCGCGCCGAAATGGCCGAACTCATCAACGACGCAGAGGGCTCATCCGGAGACGACGGCTCAGGCGACTCGGATGAAGACCGCAACGTCGCATTCGCCGCAGCCCAAGCCCGCGCGGGTCGCTACGGCCAAAAAGTAGACGAAGACGACGACGGCACCAGAACGCCTCCTCGCATCACGCCTCTACCAGATCTAAACGACATCCTCCAGGGCCTCACCATCGACATGGAGGCCCGCAAGCAAAGAAAAGCACTGCTCCTCCAGAAAATGCAAGATCTCAAAGACGACAAAGTCAGAATCGAAGAACGCAAAAAGTATCTACAGGAACAACTCCAAAAGACGGGCGAGGAATACGAAAAACTGCGCCAGGAATCGGGGTTGCCGGCCTTACCAGCTAGTACTTTGGAAGGAGGAGGTGGTGGTGGTAGGTTGATTACAGAAAGAGGGTTGGATAGTCTGGGGACTACGCCGCTGGGTGGCACGCCGCTGGCTAATCGATCGAGCGAGGAGTCTGATTGAGTAGCGTTGGTTGTTTTGAATTGAATATAGAAAAAAAAAGAGTGACCTTTCTGGGTCGTGTCATCATACATTATTTCTCCATCTCCTTCCATGCTCCGTGACGCCTCATAAATCCCATCCAATATTTTTGTATACAAAAAAAGAACCTCTTTCTCCCACCAAAATGTAATCATCCCCTCCACTCTTCCCTCAAATCTTTCTTATTCTTACAACCCTCCCCCCTTCCTCCCCCTTCCTAAATCCTTTCTTCCTCCCCCTTTTTTGTAACGCCCTCTCACTTCGTTTCGTTTCGTTTCGTTCAGCGCTTTTATTTATTCTCGTCCAACTCCCTCCACACCTTCTGGATCCTCTCCCTCTTTTCCTTGGCCGCCTCGCGATTCTGGCGCGTGCGCTCAAGCCGGATGCCGCGCAGACACATGTTGACTTTGTGCTTGGCGTCGGTGCAATTGCCCGTTACTTTCCAGAGGAAGCCGTGGGCGTGGCATTCTTCGAGGGCGGCGACGACGTCGGCGCAGTCTGGGGTTGGGGTCGCGGGTTAGCTGGGGGGGGAGGGGGTGTGTTTGGGGAGAAGGGAGGGAGGGGAAGTTACTTTTTTGGACTTCTTCGGTGTGGAGGTGGGGGTGCATGGTTGGGCGAGGTGGGATTGGGGTGTCGCGAAAGGCGGGGAGAGTGTTTGGTTGGGTGTACTGTATGGGTGCAAGTGGTGGGAAGTGGAGGTTTGGTCGAGAGTGGTAGGTGTAGTTTGAACCAATCCGATCTCTGGCTTCTTGGACGAATCGCACGACATCTCAGCGTAGTACCCTAACGTTAACAACGTACGTCCGAGCGCGTCTTTCTTTGGCCTTTGCGCTTGCAACGTCGGTTTCGATCAACAACGCTTGCTTAATTTCTCACGGTCAGATTAGCCATACGCAGATTGGCGTATCCGTCTGCAAGTAGACTTTCATCCGCGTGGCTGTGAGTGCACTGCATTGGCCATTGCACGATCTTTTTTCTCTCATTCTTTCTCCCGAGTTCCCCGCAACCCAGAGTTGGCGTCTCTCACCCGCCACCCAAGTTCGCCATGGCGTCTCAAGCACAGCTGAAGAAGCAACAAGGTATATCTTTCTCTCTCCGTTTTTTAAAGGGTTGATTTCAAGTAAGCTAACACGAGGGCAGAGCTACAAACAACGTACCAGAATTACAAAAACACGCTGCAAACCATTGCATCCAAAATCGGGGATATTGAGCAAGAATCCGAAGAGCACAAGTAAGTTTTCCATGATTTGCATAGCGTGCTCAAACTTCAGTCACCTGCCCCTTCTCAATCACACCGCTTCTTCGGTGACTCGGCGTCTCCAACACCCCCTCCTTTGAGGAGATTGTCTATTCTTTACAGAAATGAGCAGGATGCCTGGATTGTGTCATGGAGTCAATGAGAATCATTAACTGATGTATACTAGACTCGTACTCGAGACGCTGCAGCCGCTTTCGGGAGACCGGAAATGCTTCCGCATGATCAACGGCGTCTTGACTGAGCGGACGGTCAAGGAGGTGGTGCCTATTCTGCAGACTAACTCGGAGGGGCTGAAGAAGGCGCTAGACGAGCTAGTCAAGCAGTACAAGTCGAAGCAGGATGAGATGGAAAAGTGGAAGGTACGTGTGTCTGATGTGTGAGAACGAGAGTTGCATATGACGACTGAGTCAATGATCTGGGGCTGGGAACGGACAGCTGACTTTGCCACTACAGAAGAAGAACAACATTCAGGTTGTTCAGCAGCCTGGGCAGTAGAATGGTGTCCGGATCATGCGGCACCCCTTTGACAGGGAGGGTACACGACGTATGCTTGGTTCCACATGGAATACTACCAGCATTAAGGCGGCAGAATCTCGGCCACCAGAGTCAGAACAGACGCAGTCAGGCCATGACGGAAGAATGAAAAGTGTTCCGGTTCTGGGAGCAAGGCCACAGTGTGTAGAGAGTGACTCGATGATGAGATGTTAGTACAGCATGTCACGATGTGACAGCATAGCTTTCCCCACAGCAATTCAAGAAGTACCCATAAGGGTATATGTATATAACCCCCGTACTATAGCTTCGGCAATGATGTGTGTGTGTGTAAAACTTGGAATGCAATGGGGGGGAGCCAGGCACAGCATGGCTGGGCAGTGCAATGGTCGATGACATGGATAGTCGTGTGCCCCCACATACCACATGGACTACCCACTGGTTTTATGTATGCAGGCATGATTTGACGAATGAAAAAGAACCGAACAAAGAGGGAGCGTGGGCTTGGAGGCCAAGTTTGCAACCGACCAGCACGTGCTCCCCACTCTAGGCGGGCCTTCTGCACGATGAGCTGTCGAGTTGGCTTTCAGTCGAGCCGACGCACCGATCTACGACCATGGTACCATGACCGTGGACACGTAGCTCATAGGGTACCGGCAGAGCTGGCTGCAAGGAGAAGGCGAACGGTGAGGTTCAGAGGCCGTTTGCGGCTAGGGGGGTGGACGTCATCTAGCGGCGGGCAATAGTGAAGCTGATAGCAAGGCTGTACTTACATGCAACCGAGCCCAACAAGAGAGATCGAGGGATTGACGTCTGCATGTGGCCGGGACTGTGCTGAGGATAAGGCGTGATTGTGGGAAAAGCAATGCTGGGGGTGGAGCAGACGTGGCGTGGTGGTGTGTATAGGTGCGTGGGAGAGGACACTGGTCTGATTTGTGCTCTAGTGACAAGAGCATGTTTGCACCTGGGGAGAAAGAGAGGGAAGAGCAAAGTGGAGTCCGGGCATGTGGAATGGGGAAAAAGAGGGACTTGCAACGTGGGATAGCGTAGGGCTGTCGAATAAAAGGTGGTGGCATGGCTTGCATAGAGGATCGCCGACTAGCGCCTGGGTGTTGCAGCTGTGCTTGTGACGACAGGCCCGAGGACGGCATGGTGATGGTGATGGCGAGGCTTGCCGGCCGTAGCCCGTGGCCCTGGACTGGGCCGAGACGGGTCGGGATGAAGCCGAGTGAGGCAGCGGCAGTTGGAGGCAGGCGATGGAGAGGACAGAATGGCTCGGGGCGGGCCGAGGATGGTGGGCGCAGGCGCACTGATGGCGGGAGTGGTAGCAGCAGCAGTAGCAGTAGCAAGTAGAGTAGAGCATGACATGGCCATGGCAATGCACCGTCTCTCCGCACGCTACTCTGGCCAACGTCCAAGCTTAGCCGCGCCGCCCCCATCTCGGGCGCTCAGAGCTTCGCACCCCATCTCATCTCCTCGCGCTCCTATTGGCAGGCGCGTCCCCAGCTGCTTCTCACCTCCGTTCGCGACCAAGGCGTACAGCTGCCGCAATCCATTGACTCGACCCGAATCACGGCCCTTTGCTCCAACTGGACCTTCTCCCCCACCGACTGCTTGCATCCCGTCCCACCGCCAATCCATCGCCACGGGGGACCGCCATCGTCGCACCGACTATCAGGCCGCCGCCGCAAGGCACACACACACACACGACTCCGCCGTCTCTCTTGCCGCCCCTCGGTCTACGTGTAAGTCAGCCTGTGTCTGTCGGTCTGCGTGCCTGTCTACGTGTGAGAGAAGGAGAGAGAAGGAAGGAGAGAGCCAGCAGGAGAAGGAGCGACCAGCCCGTCTGGGTCGCACCTGCCTGGCCCGTCGCCCACGGCCCGTCGCGCCTTCCTCGTCTGCTTGTCGATGGCTGACTGATGACCGACCGACTGACTGACTCCAGGCAGTTCGCGTGCCGTCGAGCCTCTCCACTCGGTCGCCGCCACCGTCGTAGCACGTCGTCAGCAACAGCAGTAGCAGCGGCAGCTTCCCAGCCTCCAAGCTCCCAAGCTACCTGCGCCTGCACCTGCTGCATGCCACTAACCGTTTCCCTTGCTCACCACCCTCGTTACACCAGTGACCCCCAGCCTGCATACTCGGCCGCCAACTCGCCCCATCTTCTCTCCCAGTGACGTGGTCGCCAACGAAATAGTCGCCAGCGCATACGCTTGCCGACCGCGCAACCGCTAATATGTCGGCCTCTCCCCCAAAGCAGGAGGGCGTGGAACCAGTCCAGTCGCCTGACGAAGAACAGCCCATGGGCCGGAACACAGAAGAGAACACAGCTCAGATAGGTTACGAGTTCGAAGTCAAGGAGCAAGACCGATGGCTTCCTATCGCCAATGGTACGTCCATTTCCCCAATGCCCTTTTTTTCCCCGCCCTTGGCCATGTTTGCGCGCCCGTCACTTCTTTGGTCTGCACGCCGACGGATTGCTCAAACGCGCGCAATCGCTCTCTGCATGTCCCCAGACTCTCTCTCCATTCGCGCGTGCCTGCGTCGAATCGCCTAAATCCGCACTTTGCTCCAGCCACTCAGCTGCGCGCTGTGCCTGGAATTTGGCCGACGTGCAGCCTGCGCCATGTCGTCGTCTTCTCCACCCTCGTCGTCGTCCCCGCTGCAAGCAACGCCAAAGAATGCAAACACAACCCAAAGTGCCGCTTCAGATGCTAACATTCGTAACTTTGCTCCAGTCGCCCGTATCATGAAGATGGCTCTACCCGAAAACGCCAAAATTGCAAAGGAGGCAAAGGAATGCATGCAGGAATGCGTCAGCGAGTTCATTTCCTTCATCACAAGCGAGGGTAAGTCTATTTGCCTCCTATTTGAACCTCCCCAAGTACCAGTCGGTAATCATGTTTGCAGCCTCCGAAAAGTGTCAGCAGGAGAAGCGCAAGACGGTCAATGGAGAGGATATTCTCTTCGCCATGACCTCCCTTGGCTTCGAAAACTACTCCGAAGCTCTCAAGATCTACCTTTCCAGGTACCGCGAAGTAAGCTACCCCTTTTTTCCTTCTAGCCCTCTCACTCTTCTTTTGTTGCCTATTGTTTGGCGAAAACGTTTATCTGAACTATTGGTATTGATTGGTGGTACGAGACCCTCCTCGCAAATCAGAACAAGCCACCCACTGGGCAGTTTGCAGCCGGGTCCGGCGGGCCCAACGCAGGCGGGTCAGAGAACCAACAGCATGTACTGAGCGGCGATTCCGAAATGGGCGACGACTCGACTGCCTTTGGCTATCCCGTCCACAATGGAAACGGAACCGAGTACTAGTTGCGCCGAGCTCTGGTAATCGCAGTGCAAAAGATGGAAGAAGAGGAAGCCATCGTCCAGGAAAGACATGGGAAAAGCTGCTGGATCACCAGAAAACGAGCGACTTACGAACAAGTTACTTGCCAAGAATTCATGAAGAGATGGGATTGAGAACATGTTTGTTGAAATCAGATTGTTCAAACTGCCGGAGCATCTGTTGTGGGGTTATAATGCGTGAGAACAGAATACCTGTTGTGTCGACAAGATGTCACCTTGACGTCTTGTCCCAGGACTCTGTACGGATAGGATGGACAGAGAAGGGCACACGTGGACGGTTCGGATACCTTTTGTCTTCTTACACGCTGGATTACTATTGGTCTAGATTTTATCTTTTGCTCACACGGGCCGACCGACACTCGTTATGCGACTGGGAATCAAACACATTAAAAATCGCTTTGCCAATGCTGCAGCCACTTGAGTATTCACTGTGATACCATTGTAGTGCGAAGAATCCTACGGACGGCTATACCCTGATGTCGACGCACCTTGCCTTCGAGCTATCAGTCGACTTAATGGTATGTCATCTTCCTGCTCATCATAAAACTCCACGTCCTCATCCACGCCAAAGTCCTTTAGCCGCTCACCCTCGGCATTGCGCCATGCAGCCTCTCCTTCCCGTCCCTTTTCGCCATACTTCTTCTCAGACTCTTCCTCTTCTTCCTGAGCGTCATCACTAGCATCATCTCCGTACGTATATCCTCCGTCGTCGTCACGAGTATTGCCATATTCTGCTTCTTCTTCTTCATCCTCCACCACCCTTTGCTGCGCCTGTCCCCCATACCCCCTCCTCCTCAACGCATCCTCCGCCTGCCTCGCCTTGAAAGCCTTGATCGTCTCCTCAGCACTCATCTCCGGCGCCTCCGCAAACTGAAACGCACCCACATTCACCGCTTTGGCATTCCTCCTGTACGCGCGATCGGGGTCTGGCGGCGGCCACACCGTACCTGGACTCTCGAACCCATTCGTCTCAAACGCCAGACCACTGGCCAGACTCGGCGTTGCATCAAACGGATTCAACCACGCGATCGGATTAGCAGAATTCATGCCCTGCACGATATTCGCCCAGATGCCAATGTCATAGGGAAATTCCTGTTTGCGGATGCGAATCTGCTGCGTACCGTCAGGCGAGGGCAGGTAGCCTCCGTGTTGGCGGGCGCGACGCAGCAGCGTTCTGTGGCGTTCAATCTCCCAGCCTTCGATGGTCGTGGTGTTGACGGCTAGGCACCAGACGTTGCGTAGGAAGAGGATGCCGAGGATGAAGAGCGTGAGGCTGTTTACCATGAGGATGGTGAAGAGGTGGGCGAGCTGGAAGGGGCTTGGGCCCATTGAGGATGGCATGTCGAGGTTTGACCAGAGGTAGGAGAGGCGGGTGAAGATGAAGGTTTCGAGGAGGGAGAGGCCGACGGTGGTGTAGAAGAGGAAGCGGATGAAGTGGGGGAAGGTGGTGTGGCTGACGCAGTTGTTTGTCCAGGGGCAGTGGTGGTCCATTTTGGGAATGCATCTGGGAAGGTGGTTAGCTGTGCTGTTGGTGAGATTGATATGATGGAAGGGTGATAGATTCCTTGTTACTCCAAAACTTCATCATATCTTCATCGAATCTTCCATGACCTTTTGGCTTAGACAAGCGTCTAGCCACGAAGCCTTTGCCTCCATATATATATCTCTCTTAACACGGACATAAACATATTAAAAATCAACCTACCTCTTACATTCCTTACAGTGATGCGCCCTCGGCGGCTTCGCAGCCTCACACCGAAAACACCACTTCCTACTCTTCCCCACTACATCTTCCGCTTCATTCCCCGTTCCTTCCTTACCCTCCGCCTTCACCGCACCCCCAACATTCCAATCCTTCGGTATCGTCCCCGGATCTACAAACACACTCTGCGTATATGTAATAAAAATAAGCACTAAAATAACATTGGCTGCGATAATCTCGTTCTTGCTCAATGGCGCGGGCTCGAGCTGCATCAGCAGGTACTGCGAGGGGTACCCAAGAAACAGTATCAACGCATAGACTGCGGGTACCGCGAGTTGGGAGAGTTCCATCTTAGTGACAACATCCGATGGAGAAAAAAAAACCGGGATAGAAAGATGGGAAATACAAGAGCGGAAATGGGGCGGGTTAAAGGAATGTTTCTTTACAAAGTCACGCTTAGAGGGTTTCGTGTTACAGGGTAGATCGCGAAAGCACGTGATTTTTTTGGCAGCCGGGGCCCTCCAAAAGAGCAAGTTGGACTTACTTCATCCGACCCAACGAAACTAACTGACCGCCATCCATACACACCATCTCACCGCCTTCAAACTGGATACCCTGGATTCCCTAAGCAGACAATTCTGACCCTGCGCAATTGCGCAAAGCTAGATGCAATGGCGTCAACGTGGCCTTTTTTGCTGCTCATCCCGACAGTCATCTTGATACACCTCTATGTATCGCCGTACACAAAAGTCGAGGAGTCATTTAATATCCAAGCCGTCCATGATATCCTTGTTCACGGTATTCCGACAGAGAACGTAGACCAGTTTCTGACTGCGAATTACGACCATGTTTCTTTTCCGGGGAGCGTGCCCAGGACGTTTGCGGGTGCGGCGGTGCTGAGCGGGTTGAGCAGGCCGTTTGTGGGGTTTGTGAAGGATTGGGAGTATGTGCAGATGCTTGGTGAGTTTTTACTTCAAAAAAAAATCCTTTGTGTGGGGCTTGTAAAAGGGGGAGGGCTGACGGTGAGGGGGTTAGTTAGGGCGGTGCTTGGGTTGCTTAATGCGGCGGCACTGATTGCGTTTGGGAGGAGTGTGCAGAGGGCTTTTGGGACTGCGGCAGGGATTTGGTATGCGTTGTTTCAGGCAAGTCAGTTTCATGCTATTTATTATGCTTCGAGGACGCTGCCGAATATGTTTGCTTTCATCTTTAGTAAGTTTGCGGAATGCTTGTCGAAGTGGTTGTTGGCTCATGGTTACAGGCAATATGGCATTGCGAAGTCTAGTTCTCGCGTGTAATTCGCCCAGTACTTCTTCGAGTGTCTCGGGACACTACCGGTTGAGTTTGTATCTGCTCACTATTGCTGGAGTTGTGTTCCGGTCTGAACTGGCTATCCTGGTCGCCACTATCACTGTGTATCTGTTTCTCACTCGCAAGATATCGATCGTCAGCGTCATCATTCCAGCCGGCATTGGAGGTCTCATCGTCGGTCTTATCTGTACAGTACCTCTGGACTCTTTCTTTTGGCAATCATTTCCCCTGTGGCCTGAGTGGACAGGTTTCTACTACAACACTATCCAAGGAAACTCGGCTAATTGGGGTGTCTCGCCATGGTATTTCTACTTTGCAAATGCACTGCCGCGACTCATGCTTAACCCTATAACCTACCTGGTCTGCATACCCATTGCTGTTTCGAACCCTGCAAGCCAAAGACGAAGCCTTGACCTACTCATCCCTCTACTCAGCTTTGTGGCGATATACAGCTTTCTTCCCCACAAAGAATGGCGTTTTATTCTCTACGTAATACCAGGATTGACGGCAGTAGCGGCGGATGGAGCAGCCTGGGTTTGGACTCGACGATCTAAGTCTATCATATATGCTTTCCTCAGCTTGGCTCTTGTAGGATCAGTCTTCGTGTCATTTGCTGCATCCACAGCCATCCTGGGTATTTCTAGTCTCAATTACCCCGGAGGAGAGGCTCTACACGATTTACACAAACGGATGGATCACCCGCACGATAAACACTTTAACGTATATTTTGACAACCTTGCGTGTCAAACAGGCGTTACACGTTTCCTGGAGAGCCACAGAGGCCCGCAGACAGTACTCGATGTTCTCGAAGAGCAAAATGTCCTGCAAAGCCGAACATGGGCCTATGACAAGACTGAGGATCCGAGCGCGCTATTGGATCCAATGTTCTGGACAAAATTTGATTATGTTCTTACCGAGAAGCCGGAGAGGATAATTGGAGCTTGGACTATTAAACATGTGGTGTACGGCTTCGGGGGGGTCAGGCTTCTGAAGCCAGGGGAGGAGAGCAAAGATGAATCCGAGCCTATGTACGAGGGGAACGGACCAACTGCTGATGTGCAAGTTGACTGGACTTCCAAAGTTGGAGCAGAATGGTATCGATTGGAAGGGCGATTGAGAAACAATTTGTTGAGGGGTTACTGGCCCATGATATGGATGCAGCCAAAGATCTATATTCTGGAGAACAGTATGAATCCGCCAACAAACATATAGATATACGGTCGTAATTTCAAAAAAAGAGATACATACCGCAGTACACGAAGCTTTGGGTGAAAGTGTCAAGCACGTCCAAGGACCCTTACGTACCCAACTTCTCACACGTACCCCGCCACGCTTGCTCTGCCCCACCAAGCTCTCTCCTTCGCGTCAACCCCAAAACTCTCTGCACCCCACCAGATACATTGTCAGCGCATAGAATAGCCGGCAGTTTGGCTGTTGGTACAATCACCATGTCTGACGATACAGTACCAAAACAAGTCATTTACTGCGGAGGTATGTAGATATTGCTGCGGGTAGCTTCCCTACTCATCTACTAACAAGAAGCAGTATGCAGTCTACCACCTGAAGTAGGTATGACACTGAGACGCGTCGATACCGAACTCAATAGTAATCCGAACCCCATTTAGTACTGCGAGTTTGGCGGCACAACAAAGAAGTGTGAAGAATGGCTTGCAGAAGCGCACCCAGACCTTCATGCCAAGTTGTACTCGGCAGGTATGTGCTGCTCAACTTCTGGGATGCGCTTGGTTGGCGCAATGAATTATAGCACGACAAATCATCTAACACTTCCTCTAGAGGCGCTACAGCAGAACATGGCCTCGCTCTCTGTCGATGCCCAAAAACGCGCGGAAAAGGATGCACAGAAGAAAGCCGCCAAAGCTGCGACCGCTGAGGCGCGAGCAGCCGAGACACGCGCATCCTCCAAGATTCTCATCAAGCGTATCGAGCGTAACAAGCGAAAATACGTGACTGCTGTTCAAGGACTTGAAGCATTCGGTCTCGACATCAAGAAGGTGGCCAAGGACTTTGGCAAGAAATTCGCGACTGGCTCAAGTGTGACCAAGATTCCCGGTGGCGGCGAGGAAATCACGGTACAGGGAGATTTGAGCGAGGATATACTTGAATTCTTGGTAGACAAGTATGATGAGGTGCCGGAGGACAATGTGGAGTTAGTCGAGGATAAGAAGAAGAAGAAGGCTGAGGGAGCTTGAATACTTTGGGTACAAAGTGCAGGTATGGAGAGACCAGAATATGGGATACCTGAAAGGCGTACAAAATGCGCATTTCAGCATGTGTATTGGAGTTGGTTGGTGAGAAATTGGAGATGCAGAATATGAAAGGCATGGGTCTCGTGAGCTGGGACAAACCAAACTGTAGAAGCAGTAACTATAGAATCAATGATAGTACCATTGTTTAACAAAAAAACGTCAGATTAGGCAGAAAAATCATATCAGCGATCAGAGACATGCAGAAAGAGGATATGGTCTGCCTAGAAAATGTGCGCGTGCGACATACAAGCCCCTTGGTGATAGCGGAGGTGATGCGGTGTCACGTGCTCTTGCTGCAGCCTTTGGAAGCTCCATCATTGAACTTTTCGAGATTCCGCCGCCGCTCATTTACATCCACCACCAGGGCGTGTCCACAGCCCGACCACACCCAATCGGACAACTCTTTTCTTTCGTTTGATCTTGATAGGACGGCGACTCGTTCTTTCGTCGTGTATTTTATTATATCTCGCGTGTAGACAGCTCGAGAAGACGAGACCAAAAAGCGCAAGCCGCGCAATACCACGATACCCACCGCCACCATGTCGAAAGATCAAAACAACCTCGCGCAGTTCAAATATGCGGCCATGTCCAACTTGGTCCTGCAGGCCGACAGACGATTTACGTCGCGCCGACCGGACGAGCACACTGGTGACCCCGAGTCGCTCGCAGGCCGCATCAACATCCGCGACATGGGCGCGCGTACTGCGCGTGACAGTGCAAGTGCGCAAACTAAGAAGCTCAAGGGGCCCGGTGTCGAACGAGGCAATCTTGGAGAGGGTGGCGATGTCCTGGAAAGAGAGCAGCGCAAGAGGAAACGGGACGATGGGACAAGCGCCTTTGGAGCTATTGCTACCGCCGACCTGAATATCGAAGGCCTTACATACAAGCCGCGGACACCTGCTACTCGCCAGACTTTCGAACTTATTACCACCATTGTGAGCAGAGCTCTCGGCGATGTCGACCCTGCGACTACACGAAGTGCGGCCGATCAAGTTCTGGAATACCTCAAAGATGACTCTATGAAGGATTTTGACAAGAAGAAGGAGGTGGATGATCTCTTGGGTACTTCTATGGGCGCAAAGGAGTTCAACGAGCTTGTGAACCTCGGCAAAAAGATTACGGATTACGACGCGCAAGACGACGAGGAAGGAGGCGATGAGGAGATGGCGGATGGCGATGGCGCAGATACTGGTGACAACCAGGGTGTAGCTGTCGTCTTCGATGATGAAGAGGAGGACGAGGACGGCCCTCAGACTTTTGAAGTGCGTGATGCCGACAGCTCGGATGAAGAGGATGAGGCAGAGGCGCCAATAGAACAAATTGGAGGCGACGACGCAAAGGACGCAGGTTTTGCGGAGACCGAGGAGACGATAATACAAGGCGATGCGGCCATTTCGGATCGCAAAAACGGCGCAGACCAGCTCATTCCCGCACACGAGATCGACGCATACTGGTTACAACGGCAGATTGGACAGATCTATGAGGACGCGCATATACAGCAAGAGAAGACACAGGAAGCGCTCAAGTTTCTTGCGGGAGTCTCGGAAGACGGTGAAGAGAAGGAGTTGCGTGAGGTTGAGAACGACCTCATGGATCTCTTTGATTACGAACATCACGAGCTGGTCGCCAAACTTGTTCTCAACCGTGATAGGGTCGTTTGGGTTACAAGGTGGCGACGCGCAGCGGAAGATAATGACGAGCGGACGGCTGTTGAGCGGGAGATGAAGGCTGCCGGCCAGCAACAAATCCTGCAAGAGCTGCGCGCACGAGAAACGGGCATCAAGGCGGAAGAGGGTGCTGGCACAGGAAAGATGAAGTTCAACCTCAAAGATATCAGTCTTCCCGAGGTGTCGAACGACGTCGAAATGGCCGACGCCAAACCAGAGGGCATTGTTGGTGGTCTACAACCATCAAGCCGACTTGTCAACTTGGACAACATCGTGTTTGACCAAGGTAACCATCTCATGACAAATGCGAGCGTCAAGCTGCCTCAAGGATCAACACGACGTCAGTTCAAGGGATACGAAGAGATTCATGTCCCTGCACCAAAGGCGAAGCGTGATCCTAACGAACCGCCACTCATGCCAACCTCCGAGCTCCCAGACTGGGCTCGCCCTGGTTTCGGTAACTCGAAGTCACTTAACCGTATCCAGACAAAGTGTTTCCCGACTGCCTTCAATGACGACGGCAACATGCTGATTTGCGCTCCCACTGGTTCCGGAAAGACCAACGTTGCCATGCTGACTATGTTGCGAGAGATTGGCAAACACCGCAATCCTCAGACAGGAGAAATCGCCCTCGACGACTTCAAGATCATCTACATTGCTCCGCTCAAGGCTTTGGTCGCGGAACAGGTCGGTAACTTTGGCAAGCGTCTTGAACCATATGGTATCAAGGTGTCTGAGCTTACTGGTGATCGTCAACTTACCAAGCAGCAAATCGCAGAAACCCAGATCATTGTCACCACTCCTGAGAAGTACGATGTTATCACTCGAAAGGCCACCGACACAAGCTACATTAATCTCGTCCGCCTCATCTGTATTGATGAAATCCATCTTCTTCACGATGATCGTGGTCCAGTCATTGAGAGCATTGTCAGCAGAACCCTTCGGCATAGCGAACAGACCGGTGATCACGTACGCATTGTAGGTTTGAGTGCTACTCTTCCCAACTACCGCGATGTTGCGAGTTTCCTTCGTGTAGACCCCGACAAGGGACTGTTCCATTTCGACGGTACTTTCAGGCCGTGTCCCCTGAAACAAGAGTTCATCGGTGTTACAGACAAGAAGGCTATCAAGCAGCTGAAGACCATGAACGATGTCTGCTACACTAAAGTTCTCGAGCAAGTTGGCGAGCACCGCAACCAGATGCTTATCTTTGTACACTCGCGAAAGGAAACTGCAAAGACTGCCAAGTATATTCGTGACAAGGCCCTTGAAGAGGAGACTATAGGCAAGATTCTCCGATCAGACGCTGCTAGTCGTGAAATTCTGAGGGAGGAGTCCGAGTCGATACAGAATGCCGATCTCAAGGACGTCATGCCCTACGGATTTGGTATACATCACGCTGGAATGTCGCGAGCGGACCGTACCTCTGTAGAAGATCTCTTTGCTGATGGTTCAATCCAAGTCTTGGTTTGTACAGCAACCTTAGCTTGGGGTGTTAACTTGCCAGCACATACCGTCATTATTAAGGGAACACAGATCTACTCTCCTGAGAAGGGTAGCTGGGTTGAACTCAGTCCACAAGACGTTCTGCAAATGCTTGGTCGTGCTGGTAGACCTCAATACGATACGTATGGAGAGGGCATTATCATCACTACACAGTCTGAGATTCAGTATTACCTGTCACTGCTCAATCAGCAGCTACCTATCGAGTCGCAACTCATCAGTAAGCTCGCAGACAACCTCAATGCCGAGATTGTTCTGGGCAACGTCCGGAGCAGAGATGAAGCTGTGGACTGGCTTGGTTACACATACCTCTTTGTTCGAATGCTTCGGTCACCGGCTTTGTATCGGGTAGGCCCCGAGTACGAGAACGATACAGTTTTGGAGCAAAGACGTGTAGACCTTATCCACGCAGCTGCGCACATTCTTGAAAAGTGTAGTCTTATCAAGTACGACAGGAAGACCGGAGCCCTTAACCCTACCGAACTCGGAAGAATTGCCTCCCACTACTACATCACCCATAACTCTATGGCTACTTACAACATGCATGTTCAGCCTGGTATCAGCGCAATTGAGCTTTTCCGAGTATTTGCACTGAGCGAGGAGTTCAAGTACATTCCTGTTCGTCAAGACGAGAAGTTGGAGCTTGCTAAGCTGCTTGGAAAAGTTCCTATTCCTGTCAAGGAGGGTGTGGAAGAGCCTCAAGCCAAGATCAATGTTCTTCTCCAGGCTTACATCTCTCGTCTCAAGCTCGAGGGTCTAGCGCTCATGGCGGATTTGGTCTACGTCACACAGTCAGCTGGACGTATTCTTCGCGCAATCTTTGAGATTTGTCTCAAGAAGGGTTGGTCGCAGGTTGCCAAGTTGGCTCTTGACATGTGCAAGATGGCCGAGAAGCGCATGTGGCCTACCATGACTCCTCTGCGACAGTTCCCCACTTGCCCCCGGGACATTGTGCAGAAAGCAGAGCGTATTGATGTCAGCTGGTCGAGCTACTTTGGCCTTGATCCACCCAGCATGGGCGAGTTGCTTGGTATGCCTAAGGCAGGCAGGCTCGTCTGCGGTTTGGTTGAGAAGTTTCCCCGACTTCAGATTGAAGCAACACCACGCCCGGTGACCAGATCGCTGCTCCGTC